CAAATTTCCAAATGAGGTGACCATGCTTACAATGGGAAAGTAGCGCGACGTAATTCGTGCACATCAAGTTCAACCCTTGAAAACAAATTAGTTCAATTTCACGGGACAACATGTACAAAAGCAAGCTTACAGTGGGAAGTAGCTTGTGGTTGGCTACTGATTTATGCACGTGAGGCGAGATATTGTCGTGAAATTAGTCCAATGACCAAACGACGAATGAGACTCACAAGGGGACTTACAGGGGGGACACCTACCGAGCCTACCATTATATCTATATATATCAAATATATAATTTAACACAGCCCCTAGGCTTTGTAGCTGAAAGCCCACCACACACAGCACACTAAGCCATACGCTCCCTAAGCCTAGCACCCCCATACTCAGCAGCAGTGACAGCTACTTCAGCAGGGTCAGCCCCTCGGCGCATGTGTCCGCGACGTCGACAGCGAGGGCAGCGGCTGCACGGGGGCGACGGCGGCAGCGTCGACAGCGGCGGCGGTGGCGGCGGTGTGCGGCGGCGTGGCCAGCGGCACCAGCTGCGGCGGCGGCGGCTTCGACAACAGCTGCTGACGGCGGCGGAGCTCACAGCACTCGGTGGCGTGGCCGGGCTCCGCAACAGTGGGATGGCCGGCTGCGGCGAGGAAGAGGGGACGCAGGGGAAGGGGGCGGGGCTTCAGCAGCGGAGCCCGGGAGCATGCCGCCCCGTGTGGCACACTGGCTGCATGCGGGCATGCTGGCCAGCGCTAAGACGGGGCGTTGGCCGCTGCCGTCCGTGCCGTACACGCACTGGCAGCACGTCGCCACGGCAGCACGACGGCACCGTCACGCCACCACGGCTTGACGTCGACGACGCCGCCACAGCTTGACGTCAACGCCACGACAGCGCGACGCCACGGTAGCGCGTTGAGATGGCCGCGGCAGCACGACGCGGCCCGCGACACGACGCCACAGCAGCACGATGCGGTCGCCATGGCAGCGAGAGAGAGAGAGAGAGAGAGAGAGAGAGAGAGAGAGAGAGAGAGAGAGAGAGAGAGAGAGAGAGAGAGAGGAGGATGGCATGGCGGAAGCGTGATAAGCAGGCCCAGGAAGAGCAACCTGCTTTGATACCATGTTAGAATAGCTAGCTAGGAAGAGGCGCCATGAATGGCGAGAGGTTTAGGTGCTAGGAAAAAAATATCGAGAGAGAAGAGAATGAGATTAGAAGAGAGAGGGATACAAGTAGGGGGGTTGTACCCTCTACAGTAGAATCCAGAAACACCTACCAAGCCTACCATTATATATACATCAAATATATAATTTAACAGATTGCAGTATCACACTGATGTTTCCAGGTATGTATTCCATTCCACGCGTCTCATAGCAAGGTAGGCCACCCATTTTCCAAGCGTGTCCCTGCATAACTCACATAGCATATCCACCTGGATAGGCGCCCTTAGGGGCGTGTAGGGCAAATAGGTTTGGGAAGGAGTGGGGCCAATGATCGAATTTTAAAGAATAAGCCCCAGGGCTAATCTTACGAAATCATAAAAACTGTTTTTTTGGGGGGGTTGCGGAGCAACCTATTGCAATGGATTGGGCGAAATTTTACTTTCAAGTTTTTTAGATTTCTTTTACCGTAAAAAAACATAGAAAGAACACCTAGGAAATAGTTCAACTGCTACTTTGTACACTTGGTATTCCAAGTTTGCTATATCAAATTATAGATATTATATATATATATATATATATTTGTGTAGGCTTGGTAGGTGCTCTACAGATTGTGGATCCTACTGTAGAGAGGACAACCCCCATTCTTGTATCTCTCTCTCTTCCTAGTCGATTCTCTTTTCTCTCGACATTTTTCTCTCCTACCTAGCCTAAACCCTTCCTTAGCTATTTTAATATGCTACCATCTAGATCTACTCTACAACATGGGCGGTGTAATATTTATAATTACGCTAAGAATCGCACGAAAGAATGATGGGAACAACATAAATCAACAAGTTTTTGTTTCCCATCGATTCATGTGGCGTATTTTGTTATATCAGAAAAATAGGCTATCGATTCCCTAGCTCTAGCCGGGGGGGGGAAGCTTCAAGCCTAGTGTTTACGTAATATATTTGAAGTAATGGATTTTGTGAATGGAGGAATTTGTAAAACGGTGCAGAAGACCAAGTATAGAATCTGCAGACACACGTACTTAAAGTAGAAAAGGGTACTAGAAGTACCTCTAATAACAGCCAGTATTAACAAGTTGTAACACCAGAGTTAGTGTTACAGCCTTTTGATACTTGAAGACATGAGCAAGGGTCTTTGCTGGAATGGTAGACTAGTAAGATAGCGGAAGTCTTAGAACTTGTAAGTGGTGTCCAGAATTTACTAAAGAACAAGCTAACAATAAAAGCGAGTCAAGCTACTTTTATATATGCTAGAAGTACCTGTTCGGTAATGTACCTGTTCAAAGCTATTCGCGTTATGCGCTCTAATCGCTACTGAAAGGGGTGCGACTATTTGCGTGACTGAAACGGCCAACTAACGTAATCATCCAGATGAGCGCTATTTGCTGACGTCATTTCACGGATGCTAATCTACAGAGTAACTCGATAATATCTATCGGATATTTGTACACAAATGCTGAAGTATGAATTTATCAGAACACTCCCCTTCATTTCTGGAAGTCCGACAGGGTCACTTCTTGATGATTCCGTAGTGCTCGTTGCGGTACTGGTACTTCTCACGTGTCAGCTTCTTGGTGAGAAAATCTGCAGCCATTTCATTGGTCGAGCAGTAGACCAATCACATTCTCCCCTTCTCGACTTCATCCTGGACGAAGAAATATTGTAGCGAAATGTGTTTCGTCTTATTGGCGAAGCCAGGCTGGTGCGCGATTTTGATCGCACTCTGGTTGTCGCACTGCAAGGTGGCTCTTGCAGGTAGAGACCTTCACGAGTAGTTGTGCAAGCAGCTATTAACTCGGCTTCAGCAGATGATAGGGCTATGATTTCTTGCTTTGTAGAATTCCAGGAGATGGTCCCAATAGGTTCGAGACGATAGATGAAGCCGGTGCGAGATCGACGATTAGAGTTATCTGCTGCATGATCAGCATCGACATATCCGTTAAGATAGAGAGTTTTTGTAGTGACGACTTGGTAGGTAGGTCCGACTTCAGGCATCGAAATAAAATACTGTAGGGCGCGTAGAAGTTCTAGCCGATTCTCCCCCTCATGTCGACTCAGATATTGTGCGAGCTGGCTAGCAAAATAGGCGATATTTGGACGACACGTTACGGCTGCGAATAGGAGACAACACAGGTGCTGCTGATAGAGCTGAAGTTCAGTGCTATCAAGTGGAGGTGTATCAGGCTAGTAATCCATATACAGAGAGCGGTAAGGCGTAGTGACTGTCGAGGGTGTGAGATTAAACTGTGTGGCCAGTGTAGCAGCATATTTTGAAGGGGAAAGATGAATAGCAATTGTTGTGCGGTGAATGTTTAGTCCAAGAAACTGTATGACAGTAGGTGTAATGGTGATCTGTAGGTGTTGTTGAAGTTTCTGTTCCAAGGCAGTGGCGAGAAAAACAGTGGGGCTAACGTAGAGCAAGTCGTCAACATAAGCGACGAGCAAAATGTAGTCACGGCCGTCGGTAAGTAAATATATGCCTTGATCGTGCGGTAGCTGTCAAAACCCAACAGCAAGTAATTGCTGCCACAGGCATGGAGCTTGTTTAATGTCGTAGAGAGACTTTCTGAAATGGCAGACGCTTGGAGGGTAAGTTACGTAAGAATGTGGGTACTCAACCAGAATTAATGCGTCGACGGGTGCATATAGAAATGCATTGGCGACGTCGATTTGGCGAAGTCTGAATTCCAGCAGGCTGCGATACAAAGTAAGATGCGGACACTAGTGTGTCTGCCGACAGGAGGAAATGTTAGCTCGTAGTTGAGTCCAAAAGTCTGATCGAAGCCTCAAACAACCCATTGTGCCTTGATTTTTTCGAATGAACCATCAGCGTTCGTCTTCACACGAAAAATCCATTTGCCTGTAAGCACCTTACTCCCCTTGACTTCTTTATGTGGGATTAGATCCCATGTACCTCGCTTTTCCAGAGCCCCTAACTCCCGGTCCATGGCTTCCCACCATTTTTCCCTGTGTGGACTGCTCAAATCTTGGCGAACTGTTTTCAGCTCCGAAATCTTGCTGATGTTCGACTGTACTGCAACCGCGAGTCCCAAAACTTGTAATCCATTTACTATAAAACGAGGACGATTGGAGTTGACACCGGAGAAATTGTCTTCTGACCCCTGTTCGCCCCCAATTTTGCAAGGTGTCTAATGGATAGCTGGTTCAGTGACAACTGGCATGGGCTGCTTCCGACGATCATGTCCGTAATCAAGAAGAACGTCTCGGACGTCTTAAGACGCAGCTTCGCTGAGTGGGATGAATTCAGCAGTTCCGGCTGACGTGGCTGGCACGGGGATGTCTGTGGCAGCTGCTTCGAAAGCGTTGGCAATTGTTTCATCCTGTACGTCTGTCTCAGCTTTGTTCCGAGCCTTCAAAGAGCTTAGCAGGGTTAGCATCTGCTTCCTGATGAGCACGAAAACAGGTAAGGTGAGTCGTTCGTAGAAAAGACAATCACGTGCTGGTAAGATTTTACTCGTGCGAAGATCCATAATCTTCCAAGAGTAAAACTGCATCTCGGCGCCAAGATGTATACCCCACTTAGCCCGTTCTGAAAATTTTCCGAGTGCTGCAGTTGGAGGTCGATATTGGACGATACAGCTGAAAACTCGTAAGAGTCTTGTGTTGCCAACTGTTTTTGTCCACTGCAGGTGTGGGAAAGGAATTTGTGGAAGAGACATTGTGGACAGCAAGTTGTGCAGAAGAACTGCATGGTCCAAGGCATATGTCCAAAAGTGTGGTGGAAGTGGTGCCTGAGTCAGCAAAACTCGCAACTTCTCTTGTAAAGTTTTGTTCATCCACTCCGCTACCCCCATCTATTGCTGTTGATGTGGCAGGGACCCTCGGCGTTTGATGCCTAGGGTTTGAAGATACTCACTGCAGGTGTTACTGGTATACTCTCCTGCTCCGTCACTTTGAAGTTCTTGGAGCTTCTCCTTCGACTCTCTCTCAGCGACTGTAAGCCATGCGACGAAAATGGAGTGAGCCATATGGCGAGCTAGGATGTTGATAGTCCAAATGTAGCGAGTAGAAGCTTCGATAAAAATATATAATATAGAGTTCCCCCTTAGTCCCGGCTTCAGGTAAGTTCGGGATGTCGCTGTAGACTTTCTGCATAAGCGTGTAGCGAATCGATCCTGGAAAGTGACTTGGAAAAGGTTCATGTAGAAGATTAGCAGTGGTACACATGGTGCAGACGGTCAGTCGGGATGACGGATTCATCTTTGTTCCATCAGGTAAGAGTAAACTGTTCTTGTCAAGAACGGATGCTAGTATAGAATGATTTAATATCCCCTGAGATGGATGACCTAACCGTTGATGGCCCCGTGGCAACTCTGCTGGACGATGTCGCATTCCCTGTTCGTGCCGAACTCTGTTGTCAAGGGTAGACCACTAGATTCAATGCTATGCTCCCCTTTTCTCTGTTTTGCAAATGTGAACTCAGTTGGGTTGTGCTCTTAACACGCTCCAAATCCTAACCGTCCACCCATCTAGCCCCGTCGGCTCGCGGTTGTCGCAAACTTCTTATGTACAGGCATTAGAACGACCGGCCTAAGTGGCTATACTGTTCGACCTACTTCTACAACTACGTCTTGCGGGACCGGGACACCAAGTCCAAGAACTTTGCCTACGGTCAAAACATCATGGACTTTCAATACCTCATAGTGCCTCTACATGAAGCGTACGTAATAACTGCTTGTCAAATACGGCCTTAACAGGCGCCGCAATCAATTACAACTCCATCGTTGGCTTACCCATCCCTTCTACCCGTCCGCAGGGGACATTGGAGCTTACTCGTAATCAAGAACGATGTTCAGCCAGCAGACAAAATCCCCGAGCCAAGCATTCTCATTCACGCCTACTCATACGACATGTATGAGGGCTTCGAGGACACCTTCTGGCACTCAGTGCAGCACTCGTTCCTATGAGGATGTGTGCGTTACCGATATTGCCGGTGGTTTTGGTGTATCCTTTGCTCATTGGGATACACCAAAACCACCGCAACCCTCCTCCCCTCCTTTCCCCCCCCCTCCCTGCGCTGCCCCTATGCAGGTATTTGCGGCGGCAGATGCACAAGATCAGGCCCTACGTGAAGGACGCGTGCGCCCGTGAATGGGCGGGCCGTATAGCAATGCGCAAGATGCAGGTAATCATGACAGCCCAATCTGAATCCCTATCATGGTCATCGAACGTATGCTTTGGCTAACGTCCCCAACATGCCGGCCCTCCCACCAGGTGCCCAAGCAGCCCAACAACCATGACTGTGGCATGTACTGTATGAAGTTCATGCAAGTGCTCGTCGAGCACAACTTCAGGTATACACGTCGTATCAAGCTGTACGGCCATGCTGAACATTGGCGAGAGGAGCTACACATCCATCTCGTCATGTGTTCCGTCTACTACTTGCATTTTGGCCAACGTGTGTCGTCTCTACCAGAACTCATCCGGGAGCTCCTATACGGTGGTGATGGTCAACCACCGGATGACCAGGTCATTATGCAGTAGCCATGACTCCCAAACAGTATGGGAAGGGGAGGAGGGAGGAGACTGGGTTGAGGGAGCAGTTACTGTAATTGGCTTGTTAATGCCAAAACAAGTAGACGCTGTCGCTTACTCCTAGGCAGTAGTAGGTTGGTCGCCAGAGTTGCCCATTGTGGATATGAATGGTGATATGAACCACAACTTCGGATTCCTACCAAACACGCTGCACAACTCAACCCTTATTAAAGGCGGTACTATCCACCATTACAGTCAGCCCAGGTTATTGCGGCACCATACAGGCATTAGAGACACATGCAGCAATGCATGGCCCACATGTGATACAGCTCCAGATCTAAGAGGGTAGGTCCACACCTCATGGTTAAGGTACTTGTGGACACATGCATCCCCAATTCTACATACTACTCTGATAGGGGGAGGTAGAGTCTTTGCGAGGGGAGGACTTGTGGGCAATACTGTGAGACGTTGCAGCATAGCATTTGAGACAATAAGGTGCCATGAAAGCTACTCCGCATGGTCAGTTTAATAAACAGCCATCCCCACGGAAGATACGTACAATGTGCTCGGTACTTCTGTGGTGAGATGCATCTCAGGTCCATCAGGGCTGCACCAGACACACTTGCGAGCGCCATGATGACACCTCTCTGTAGTCGCTATGTGGAATCTGTTCTGGCGCACCATCGTGGCAGCCCAGCAGCGTGTCAGTCGGCATGGGACATACTGCGTTCGTACACACGAAGGAGCGTGCGTGCCGTCTCGGGATCTGCTTCCGTCAGCGCTCGGTTGAATGTGGCCTGCTCCCACACCGTGGGCCGTTTAGGAGCCGGTTGGGGCAGCTCATCCTAGGTGAAACCTGGTGAGGGATGTACGTGCCATACATGGGGTATGCACGAGCCATACACTAGGGATTCCAGTTTGAACAAGGCAACGTAATATGGGGGGTGGTAGAGGGGGGAAATGCAGTGGGGCGAAGGGGAGAGGGGGGGGTTTGGGAGGGTGTCAAGGGCGCATGTAACAGACACACATCAGCATCCGCTCACCCTTGCTGTCCGGAGCTAAAACGAGGTCGGGGGGAGGCGCCAGTCCTCGTGGTAATCGCCGTTTGGTAACTTGACGCGCTATACCAGCGTTGCATCCATTGGGATGACCGGCTCTCCATTGGGATACCCGAGTCAATGCACATGATCGAGGAGGGCATTTGGCTGCATAAGATGAAGTGCTACTTGCGGCTCCTGACCAACGGACAGCGGAAAATCGTCGTTGTCTGAGTGGGGGACCTGAAACCCCATGATACATATTGATGCCCTTTGGTTTGATTCCTCCTTCTATGCGCATGTGCCTTCTGGTCCGGTCCCTTGATTGGTCGCCCTTTCCCCCCCCCCCCCAAAGTCCCCCCCTCGCGGTCACCTCCTTAAATACTTGCATGGATCGTGGCAGGCATTTCAAGAGGATCAAGGACCACACGTCATCATGCGTGCTCTGCCTCCCAAGAAGCATGCTCTACTAGCAGACATGCACGAACTTCTCTGCGGCGGAGCATCGTGCGGTCGTGCAGGTCTCACCCCTCATCATGCACCTTTCCGGATTGGAGGACGCCCAGGCATCCGTGCTCCAGCTCCATGACTGGTTCTCATTCATGTTTCGCCGTGAGTATCACACAAAAGCGACATTGGCGATGACAAAGACAAAGATGAAGTAGTAAGTGTTGCAACGTGTGCGCCACTGTGGGACGTGCCAGCACACTCGCCCGCAATCACCATCTGTCCTTGTGCCACAACCCACACCTGACACCCCATATTCCACCCGAGGGTGTGGGGTGTGAGGAGAGGGGAGTGGGGTGTGGTGCAGGGAATGTGGCATGGGTTTTCCTCCACTGCCACATCCTCAAACCCCACACCCCACACCGCATCCCCAAACCCCACACCCCACACCCCATCCCTCACCCTTATCAACTCCCGGCCATCCCCAAACTCCACACCCCCCCACAACCCACCCCCGCTTTCTCGCACCTCTGAATGGTGGAGGGGCACCAAACGGCTTACCCCAAGCAGGCCTCGGAGTGGCATCTCCCGAAGGTGCACAAAGTTGGTTCACGTCCCGGATGCCATTCTCAGCCAGGGCATGCCTTACGAGTACAGCACCAACTCTTACGAGAACCGCCACTAGACAATGGTGAAGTGGCCCGCTCGTGGGGGCAACTGGAGGAATGTTGCGGAGAGGAATGTTGAAGGAGACCTGGTGAAGACTTTGTCCCGTGCCAAGGGTGGCGACGAGACCTACGTGACGGCTTTGCGCGAGGTGAAGATTGTCCGAGAGGCACGGTGGAATGTTCCACCGTGCGGTAAAAAGTGACAAGATCTGCCATGCACAAACATGAGAAATTTTTTTTTGATAAAAAATTTACAGATTGTGATTCGACTAGAAGAGGAGTTTGCTGTACAGGAGACAAACTCCTTCATCTATCGGCAGGTCTTTCAGACCTGCCACCTAGTCTCATTTGCATTTTTCTGTTCCAACTTGTATACCACCAGCACACTCTAAACCTCTATGCCCAGATCTGGGCATAGCAGTCTCTTGCTGCAAGACGTCCTTTCTGTAAGATATTCTACAATGGTTAGCGGACTTATTTCTGCTGCAAGTGGTAGGCCTCCCGCTCCTCGCGTGAATACTAGGAGTGGTGGAAGGCGTGGGTCCACTGTACGTGAGGGGGACCGAAACTCTTCATCTCAGCATAGAGAACGATCTCGTTCTCCTCGTCCTGGCGGAGGTAACGGCACCGTTACCACTTTGGATTTGCTGAGTGGCGCGCGTCAAGACCCTGTTCAGCACGTCGAAAATGCGGCGGGGGACGCGGATCATAACACGTCACGCAATCGCGATTCCCCCCCCCGGATTTCAAGGCGAGCGGCGTAACGAGCAGAACCGCGTCGACACGAACCCGACTGCCGAAAACGCCCCGTCCCGGCCCTCACCTACCGAACGCAATCATAACGGTCCTGCGCGTGAGGACCACAATCATGATCGTGATCCTGCGTGCGCAGGGCGTCATCATGAGCACGATCTCAACGCCCCAGCGCCCCAGATTCACCAGGATCGCCAGGATCGGGACCAGGATCGCACAGATCGCCGCACGGATTTTCCTCATGCCGCAGTGAATCCGCGCGGAAATCCGCAGATCTCGACCCCTGGAGCAGCAGAAATCGCCGAAATGATTGCACGCCTGGATCCTGCAGCCCAACGCAATCTCCAGCGAATCTTCACAGGAGCTGTTGGCGAACGCGTTACAGCGCGCTCCACTGCATTTACAGCGCCTCATTCTGCAGAACATAATTCTGCTCGCTACACCGACAACAATGTTAACGCCGGCACCAACAACAAGGCCATTCACCACGTTCTTGGTCTTCTCGCGGCGCTCCAGCGTGGCAATGGCGCCGATCCCGCACCGCCACCGGAACCAGCACGCGTCGCAGCGACGGTGGCCCCACGCTCTCGCCTCCCGGCGCCCGCCCCCGAGCCCGTTGACGACGAAATGGAGAAAGAAGCACCCCATGCCACGCTCGGCGAAGGTAATGCCGTCCGCCCGAAATCCGCTTCTGCGTCGCTCATCCTCGCTCCTATTCCACCTGCACGTCCTCAGTTGCGCTCTTCCTTAGTTAAAAGCGATGGAATTCGTACGCAACTTTTTATTTTTGAGCGCATTCAAGCTATTGCACATCATGCTATCTCGGTTTTACTACCTGATGGTGGTGAACAAGCCGCCGACTATCTCCAGCAGATAGCAGAGGAGGCGGAAGAAAAGATTCATTTTCTGTTTACCGCCGATCAACGCGGTTTCGAAGTGGCCAATATGGCCCTGAAGATTAAGTATGGGGAAGTGGTAGAGGATAAGAATGTGAAGGCTGCTTCTCAGATTGTAGTGGCCAGCAAGAAGAGGCCCACTCGGCCCACCCATTCCACCTCCCGTCTTGAACCCCCTCTTCGCCCTCGCGGCCAAGGGGAGCGCCTTTGGAACACATGGCGTAGGGACGGCGACGGCCGTTGTTTCTATTGCCCCAAACCCGGGCATGGGATGGCTAATTGCCCCCAAAGGGGCCAAGGGGCCAATCGGCCAGCTAAGATTGTGTAAAGTTTGCTTAACCTCTCCGATGTTGTAGCGTTCTTACAAAAACAAAAAAAAAAAACAAAAAAAAACCACATTTGTGCATTCAAGCAAGATTAATACGCGCGTTATACGACCACATGGTCTTGCCCATTGGGCCCGTGCAAGAAGACGTGAATGTGCCCACAAGACGCATACACAATGTGTGTGCGTCCTTTAAAGATTGACGTTGATAAGATCATGACAAGATTTCTATGTCATCACCATAAATGACAACCAACTACAGCCCAACATGCCAAGTTCACATGCCCAACCCATGGTTTATCACTTAAGGGATGACGTGGCCGAAGAATAGCGAGCAAGCGGGCACCTATAATTAGCGTTTGCCTTCCTTCCCGCCAAAAAATAAATAAATAAATAAACTCGTTGCGGTCGGAACTACATGAGGTACCTTCCTGATTCTCTACCGTCCCTATTTGTGTTCCCTCTCCCACCAGAGCTCGGAACCATTTCGGCCTATGCCGATGATGCAACCAAGATTACCCGCATGCAAGGCCGCCTCCGTGACCGCGCTGCATGGTGGTCCGCCTGGTGCGACAGCCGCTTGATTCTATCGGTGATTACATCAAGATATCGCCTACCATGGGTTGCCTCTGAGCCCCCTCCGTCTCGTACTAAGAACCATGCCGGTGCTTTGCAATTCACATCTTTCGTAGTAGGTGCAGTGGCCGAGCTTCTCGCCACCGGCGCAGCTCGGGTCATTCCTCCTTCCACAACCCTCACATGCGTTAGCCCCTTAAACGTGATTGTCCAACCCTAAAAAAAGAGGCTGATATTGGACTTGCGGCATGTCAACTCATTCCTCTCGGTACCTCGTTTTCGATACGAAGGATTTACTCGCGTTCCTGATTTGGTGCAAGAAGGTGATTGGCTATTCACGATCGATCTCAAATCTGGATACCACCACGTCGACATTCACCCCGCTTTTTGGCGGTTTCTCGGATTCTCCCTGCAAGGGCAGGACTACCAATTCCTCTCTTTGCCTTTCGGGCTGGCTACAGCGCCATTTATGTTTACCCTGTTAATTAAGCAAATCTCTAAACGTTGGCATCGCCGCGGCATCCGCCTTATTCCATACGTCGATGATATCCTATTCATCAGTGCCACTCGAGCGGAGGCTCTTCACAACCGCTCCATAATCATCGCCGACCTCGCAGCCGTGGGCTTTGTTGTGAATTTCAAAAAATCACAACTCGCGCCAGCACAATCTTTGAAGTTCTTGGGCCTCTTGCTGGACACGCGCACCACCACATTCTCTGTCGATGCGGATCGGCGCAACCGGCTTTTTGCCGAGCTGGATGAATTAGGCACACTCGGCGCTAACGGGCGTCGCATCCCTGTTCGCCGCGCTGCCCGCATCACCGGCATGTTGGCCTCCATGTCCTTGGCACTTGGCACTGTCGCGCGCGCTTTCTCCCACCACCTTCTCACGCAGATCGCCGAATGCCACTCATGGGGGGCGGCCATTCTCCTAACCCCTGAGTCTATTGAAGAGCTGCATTTTTGGCTTACACGGTTTGACGTTTTCAACGGCGCCCGCTTCCACAACCCGCATTTGTACGACGTGGTCATGTACGTGGATGCTAGCGACCATGCCTGGGGGGCTTGTTATTCAGCGCCGGATGGTCGTGTCGGCTCACTCTCCTCCCAGCAGCCTCTAGCCCTCTTGGGCTCGTCCAGTACCCTTCGCGAGCTGGCCGGAATCTTTTGGTCCCTTTCGGCCTTTTCTGTCGAAATCCGACGTTCACACATCTTGCTCCACAGCGATAGTCAGGTGGCCAACTACATCCTCCAGAAGGGAGGCTCTCGCCGTCCCGAGCTTACCTTCGTATGCCGCGCGATAATTCAATTGTGCATGGGCCATATGATCCGTCTTACGGTCCAATGGATTCCCCGTGCGCTGAATACCGAGGCCGATGCTCTGTCCAAGATTGAGCTCCACGACGACTACTCCTTGACATGACCTTGGTTCCGGCTGCTTGAGAGGCATTGGGGGTCTCATACTATCGACTTGTTCGCATCCCCTGCCAATGCGCAGCTCGCTCGTTTCTGCTCCCTCGAGTTCTCACACTCTGCGGTTGTGCAAGACGCCTTTTCTATTAACTGGGGACACGAGAATTGCTTCGCCTTTCCTCCACCCGCCCTCATTCCGGCTGTCCTAGCGCATGCCCGTCGCTCGCGCACTTCTCTCACTCTCGTGATCCCATATTGGCCCAGTGCCTTTTGGTGGCCTTTGCTAAGCCTGGACGGCTTCACTTGGGGCCCGGAGGTCGTTATTGCCCTTCACCTTACCCTTGGTGCTAGTTGTTTATGCGTTGGCAGTGACCGTCATGCCTTTAGCGATGCTGGTCTTCCGAACTCTCCGATGTATGCGCTTCGTTTTGCATTCAACTAATGTATAAATTTATTTCACTGCGCAGGCTCATATATTGGTCGATTATTGTGTTGTGTGATGTCATCATATGCTATCACATTCTGTCTGCCTCCCATCCCATGTTTTTTCAACTTGCATGTGTGGTTTGAATGTGCAAGCATTTGTGTGTGGTGTGTTCTGGAGTTTGGGAATGTGTTCTGTGTTATTTTTGTTTGAGCAGGTATTTGTGATAATAGATCTTGAGAAGATCTTTCCGACGCAACAAGAATCGCTTCAATCGGAGCAAGAACGCGAAAGCTATGAAGATTCAAAGTTCATGAGCTTGCGTTACAATTGCGGCGGTTACAAAGTGAAGTTGTGGGGTGACTTTATATGGAGTTGGGACCTTTGGGGTTGGGGAAATTTGTCACTCTACTGTAACAGCTGCAAATTGGTTGGGAACAACCAAGCTAGGTTGGCAAGGGTGGCCAACTTGGATGGATTGGTTGGGAAGGGACAAATGTCAAAATTGGGGTTCCTATAGGGAGGGAATCTTTGTGCTTATGGGGTTTCCTTGGTTGGGGACTCTCTTGGGACCTTCCCTCTCGTCCCTCTCTTTCTATCCCAACCTTTCTCTTGCTCCTTCTAATTCCTTGTGAGATTCTTGAACTTTGATTGAACCTTTTGAGATTGAGTTAAGTTCTCCTCCTACAGCTTACCCCCTAATGCGTCGAAAGCCATAACGTCGCGAATACTTCAGCAATCAACGTGATTCAAATTGGGAAAGGTAGCTGAGATTAAGAGCTACAACATATCCAAGTTTCGCGACATTCCAACGGCTAGTTTTTAGTCGAAGTCGTTTCTTGTGAAGACGACTTTTCTGTCCAGAATTTCGGATTTATATTTTGAGTAATTCTAGCTCCTAAGTTCACCTAGACTCCGTCCTTAATCCTAACAAGTGGTATCAGAGCGATATTAAGGACATTGAGAGGAGTCTACAGAAGTGTGAAGACCCTTCTAGACCCACCATGGCCTGTGGGTGTGCCTAAGTGGTGTTCTAAAGGTTGGATGTGACTTCCGCTAAGGGGAAACTCTGCCGAAATTTCGTGGAGGCTGACACTTGTGAAAATATCGAGGGAGCTGAGTGTGGACAGCAAAGGGGAGCTGAAATTCGTCATTTCTCAAGGAGGAGATGAATGAGAGAGGAGGAGATGCTAATGGAAGAGGAGCTGTAGCTGAGAAGGCAAGTGAGCCGCCGCAATCAAAAGTTGAAGCTTTGGATGGCTCCAACTATGAGGAATGGAGCGGACGGATGAGGAGTGCCTTCAAACGCTACAAGCTACTGAAGATTGCTGTTGGGGAAGAGAAGATGCCGGAAGAAGGCGAAGCACGCGAACGGTGGATTGAGAAAAGCGCGGTGCTTTTCGACCTCATTCTTCAATCGGTCAACAAGGAGATGTTCGAGCACATCAAGGATCTTGTGGAAGCGGATGATTCGGGTCCAAGGGCGTGGAAACTACTACGCGATGTGATTCAGCCCAACACTCTCCCAATGGTGATCGTGCTCGAGAAGGAACTTGCTGCCATCTCCATGCGACCAGGGGATGATGTGAAGCCGGTCCTTGACAAGATCAAGGACACCTATGCAAGGATGGCAGCAGCGGGCAGTAGTGTATCTCAGCTGCAGCAGTGCACCAAGATCATCTCGGTGTTGGACAACTCTTGGGACAACCTCATCCCCACCCTCAACTCTCAGCAAGATCAATGGACACCTGAGTGGCTAAGGCAGCAGATTCTGCAGGAGGACTTCCGCAGACGCCATGTGGGAGGCGGTGCTGCCACTAAGACTGCTGAGGGGTATGGAGCTGCAGGGCGCAGCAGAGGAAGAGGGGGTTGGAGAGGCCGAGGCCGTGGGAGGAGCTTTGGCAGAGGTAGAGGCCGAGGTGACTATAATGAGGGGCATGGAAGCTCCAGTGGCAGGGGGAGTACCAGAATGGAGGGCACCTGCTGGTACTGCAAGAAGGTCGGGCATCCTTGGTTCAAGTGCTTCAGCAGGCCGGAGGGATGGTCACCTCCAGGCATGAAGCCGCCCAGTGGTGAACGTGCACAAGGTGGCGCTGTGCAAGGCTCAGGTGCACAAGGTGAAGGTGCACAAGGTAATGCCTATCCTGGGATGTTTCTCATGGTTGAGGATGTGCATGGGCATGAGGGTGATGTGGGATCTGTGGGAAAGGTTGTGATGCACCCTCTCATGCACTGGGTGATTGATTCGGGTTGCATCAGTCACATGACCCCACGGGCAGATTTGCTTGATGAGGTAAAACCCCCTGGGAAGATCAAGTATGTGGCAGCAGCGTCAGGTGCTTTGCTCCCTGTGATTGGCGTTGGGAATGCCAAGGTTAAGGGAGCTAATGGGGAGCTTGTGGGGCTTGGGAATGTTCTGCTAGTTGAAGGTTTGTCTGCTAACCTTCTCTCTGTGCGGCGACTGCAGAAGAGCAAGGCCGAAGTGACCTTTGGACCAACCAGCTGCCGTGCTAAGCTTGGGAAGAAGGTGCTGTGGAGTCTGGAAGAGGAGACCAGCTGCATCAAGGACCTATGGCAGCTGCCCATCATCCCTTGGAATGGGAAGACTCCAACAACAGCAACGGCAGCAGCGGCAAAGGCAACAGCAGGAGGAGATGCAACTGCACCAACTGATGGGGTCCTGGAAGCAGTCAAGAAAGTGCAGAAGCAGCAGACACATGGTGAGGTGCTTGCTGGTGTGGATGCGAGTGCGGCATGTGCTAAGGCTTCATCAAGGAGTGGAGAGGCCGATTGGGAGACATGGCATGAGAGGTTGTGTCATGTGAACTTCCCTATGCTGCAGAAGTTGGTGAAGAATGGGAGCCTGAAGGGCTTGGAGGTGAAAGGGGAAGTGAAGGAGATTGGGAGCTGTCCTACATGCTTGGAGACCAAGTTCTCCAAGTTCCCCTTCAACAGCACTACAGGACCAGCCAAGACCCCACTTGCACTTGTGCACATGGATGTGGTGGGGCCCACAAGAGCCCCTTCCCTCTTAGGCAGCCGCTATTTCTTGACAATTGTAGATGACCACACTCGGGCAGTGTGGGTTTACCCTTTGAAGAGCAAGGGGGAGGTGGCAGCGGCTGTCCTTAAGGAATGGATGCCTAGAGCTCAGAGGGAATGCGGACACAAGGTGAAGGTGATCCGCAGTGACAATGGTGGGGAGTTCATTGGAGCTGATTTTGAGGGGGAGTTGAAGAGAAAGGGGATCCAACATCAACTGACAGTGCCCTACAACCCGCAGCAGAATGGCGTGGCTGAGAGGTTCAACAGGACCCTGCAGGAGGGGGCACGCACTCTCCTTGGGCGTGCAGGGCTGCCTGATCCGTTTTGGGTGTCTGCACTGAGGCAGGTCGCCCTTGTGAAGAACAGGGTGCTGGCTACAGTTGGAGATAAGGAGTGGATCCCATATGTCAAGTGGTATGGGAGTGCTCCAGCTGTGAACATGCTGAGGGCATTTGGGTGCATGGTGGTGTTTCATGTGCCTAAGGAGAAAAGGGGGAAGTTGGAGGCTTCTGGAAGATGGGGTGTGCACTTGGGGATTGCAAAGGATCACAAGGGGTGGCTGCTATGGGACTTGACCACCCAGAAGTTGACAGTGTCAAGGGATGTGAAGTTTCTTGAGTCCCTGTACTACAAGGAATGGAAGCAGCAGCAACAGAAGCTTCCATCTACACCGCTCATTGTGGAGGCAGATGAGGTGCAGCAGCCTTCAAGACAGGTGGAGGTTGCAGTGTCAGAGGAGGAGATGTCTGGGGTGACTGAGGAAGGGGGAGCAGCTGAGGTGGAGCAGCAGCAGCAGCATGAATCTCCACCTCGAGTTCCACACCCGCCTGAGCGTCCTAGGAGGGATGTGCGCCCTCCTGTGAGGCTGACCTATGGGGGAAGAGGCAAGCCGAATGTGGTGCAGGCTGGGAGTGTGGTTGAGCAGATTGAGGAAGATGAGATCGCTCACTGCTACTGGGCACCAATCCCTGAGTACATGGCCTTACACCATGGGGCCAAGGAAGTAGTGTGGCTAAGGCGTTTGTTGGAGGAGTTGGGAGTTGGTCAGGAGAAGCCGACAGTTGTGTTTTGTGACAATGAGTCCGCTGTGAAGCTCGCCAAGAATGCTTGTCTGCATGGGCTGACAAAACACATAAGGCCTAAGTGGCATTGGGTGAGGAGAATCCTTGATAAGGAGGTGCGGCTGGAGATAGTGAAGACCCATCAGCAGGCAGCAGATATTTTCACTAAGCGTCTGGCGGAGGCGGATCATTGGAAAGGCATGAAGCTTGCTGGAATGAGTGTGCATTGAGTATGCATGCTTGAGATGTTGGTATGGTGGTTGATGGTTGGCAGCCAGAGGGGGAGATTGTTGTGTGATGTCATCATATGCTATCACATTCTGTCTGCCTCCCATCCCATGTTTTTTCAACTTGCATGTGTGGTTTGAATGTGCAAGCATTTGTGTGTGGTGTGTTCTGGAGTTTGGGAATGTGTTCTGTGTTATTTTTGTTTGAGCAGGTATTTGTGATAATAGATCTTGAGAAGATCTTTCCGACGCAACAAGAATCGCTTCAATCGGAGCAAGAACGCGAAAGCTATGAAGATTCAAAGTTCATGAGCTTGCGTTACAATTGCGGCGGTTACAAAGTGAAGTTGTGGGGTGACTTTATATGGAGTTGGGACCTTTGGGGTTGGGGAAATTTGTCACTCTACTGTAACAGCTGCAAATTGGTTGGGAACAACCAAGCTAGGTTGGCAAGGGTGGCCAACTTGGATGGATTGGTTGGGAAGGGACAAATGTCAAAATTGGGGTTCCTATAGGGAGGGAATCTTTGTGCTTATGGGGTTTCCTTGGTTGGGGACTCTCTTGGGACCTTCCCTCTCGTCCCTCTCTTTCTATCCCAACCTTTCTCTTGCTCCTTCTAATTCCTTGTGAGATTCTTGAACTTTGATTGAACCTTTTGAGATTGAGTTAAGTTCTCCTCCTACAGCTTACCCCCTAATGCGTCGAAAGCCATAACGTCGCGAATACTTCAGCAATCAACGTGATTCAAATTGGGAAAGGTAGCTGAGATTAAGAGCTACAACATATCCAAGTTTCGCGACATTCCAACGGCTAGTTTTTAGTCGAAGTCGTTTCTTGTGAAGACGACTTTTCTGTCCAGAATTTCGGATTTATATTTTGAGTAATTCTAGCTCCTAAGTTCACCTAGACTCCGTCCTTAATCCTAACATATTGTCGGACCTTCTTACACTCACCGTTGATCTTCGGGCAAAGTCTACCCTTCGCACTTACGAACCCTATTGGCGACAGTTTCGAGCCTTCTGTTTGGCGCACTCACTTCCCTTCCTTCCCGCCACTGACCTGACATCGGCCCTCTTTCTGCTGCACTCGGTCCGTCGCGGCGCTACCGTCTCAGCTATGCGCACTGCGTGTTCCACCATATCCTGCGCCCATTGGCTGGTCGGCCACCCGTCCCCGATTCGCGACCCCTTTTCTTCACAAGTCAAGGATTATGCCATGCGTCATTGTGGCAAGCCATCTCAAGCTAAGGAGCCCATTCCTCCAGCCAAGATTTACGATATCTGTGACATCTACTTCTCATCGCATGATCCGGCCACATTCCAGCGGGGCCTTATTCCCCTCCTCATGTTCGCAGCCTTCCTTTGTTTCTCTGATCTCGTCTCCCTCCAGTGGCACCAGATCGAGTTCGATCGGGACTGCATGTGGTTGTTCATCCCCCATTCGAAGACCGACCAAGCTGGCACCGGTGTTTGGGTCCCAGTGGCTGCTTCTTCTGTCCGCCACTGTCCGGTGTCGCGTGTCCAACAATTCCTCTTCCTGGCTGGCTATTCTCCGCGGACCCTTGGCCCCCTTATTCGTATATTTCAGCCAGGGGCCCGAGCTTCCCCCTCAGATTGCTCTCCCTTGTATGCCGCCATTCGGGGTTGGTGTCGAGATGCTTTCTCCCGTGTCGGCCTCAACCCGGCCCTCCTGGGCACCCATTCTTTCCGCAAGGCGGCTGCGACGGTCGCCGTTGATGTTGGAGTCCTCGACCGGCCTTTCAAGGCCCTCGGCCGCTGGCGAAGTGATACAGCCAAGGAGCTTTACATTACTCAGCTTGACCGCGAGCTAGTGGCTGCTTCTCGCACGCTACAAGATCCTACTCGCTCAAGCGCGACCGATCGGTACCAGGCCACCCTCGAGCGCCACCGCCGACGACCTCCCACTTGATGTCTCGTTTGACCTATGACGACTGCACTGCACACTCCTCTGAGGTCGTGTCACAATATGAGAAAATTTTTTGTAATGAAAAATTTACAGATTGTGACTCGACTAGAAGAGGAGTTTGCTGTACAGGAGACAAACTCCTTCATCTATCGGCAAGTCTTTCAGACCTGCCACCTAGTCTCATTTGCATTTTTCTGTTCCAACTTGCCCACCCTTCCCTCCCATGCTTTGATAACTAGCATGGCCTGCTCACCCTTGTTCCCTTGCCATGTATTTGCCCTATCTAGTGTGTTGTATTATGGAGCTATGATATGCTATGACGACTGCACTGCACTATGACGACTGCACTGCACACTCCTCTGAGGTCGTGTCACAATGTGTAACCTATACCCCTATTCACCATGTACCCCACCCCCCACCTAGTGATCCCTCATCCCCCCTCTCTCCCCCTGCACCCCTACGATTGGTAGGCCGTCCGGCTGAACAAGCGGGTGATGACAAGCACCAAAAAGCAGCTTGTCGTAGGGTCTGCGCGGGATCCTACCTTCATGTCATACACGAGGGAGCTGGGCTCGTCCATCATGTCGTTGTTTGGGCAGGCGCTGATCAGGGGCATAGTCCTGGCATCGGAGATCTTTGTGAGTGCTTGTGGGTCGTGATTTTGCACGGTGGTGGCCCACGGGAACCTCCACACCCGTGTCACAACACGTTGCGAGTGCACATTATTCACTTGTTGTCTCTGCCTGACTTTGATGCACCGCGCTGGCACATGACTCCGATACCCCCCCCCCCCCCTCGCGATGACTTTTATACGTCACAGGATGCCCCTTTGCTGACACGCAGTGGTCCGCCAAGGGCCCCCCCCCCCCCACCTGCCTCAAACTCGCCCACCCCCGCTCTTGCTTCCCCCCCCCCGCTCCTAACTCCCCCACCCCCGCTCCTGCCTTTACCCCCGCCCGCCTGTTGCCACTCCCCCCCCCCCCCTGCCCCCAACAGGTGCACACGGTCCTCGCAATCCCACTACATGACGCGATGGAGTGGTAGTCACAGGGCCAATTTATCAAAGCTAGCCTTGCATCGAGGGCATTCAGCCATATCGACATTGCGTCTGTAGGGGCCAGCTGGTATGGTCATTGTCTGATGCTGTTTTCGTACAAGGGCCCTTTTGGTGCAACACAGGAAGCTGCTTTCGTGGAGTACTACATAGAAATCCCCCGCCCCTGCCCTGTGACCAAGTGCAAGCAGCTCACCCGTACTGTGGGTGTGGACCACTGTGCCGTAGTCCGCGCCATCAGCGTGACCTCTCTTGCGCATATTGTGCCGTGCTTTCACAATGCGAAGCAGCTCCTCGTTAACAAGAACATTTCTTTAGCGCTGCGGCACAGTCCGCACTCAGGACGCTGCCTAAAGACTCATGTCTGGGTCATGCACCCATTCACTCTGACTAAAATCAGATGCTCTTCAATGAGTAGGTCATAAGGGCTGTCGTTGTTGAAGCATAGCTTTTTGGCATTCATGATCTCCAAAATTAACTGTCTGCATCAATAAGGTCATGCAATTTGTAAAGATGGTTGCGGCCATGACCTGGAACAAAACCTCAGTCGTGAATGGGTATGGTGACGGTTTTGCCCCATGTTCAAAAGCATGTTGGCAATGTGTTCAAATAGTGTTCAACTTGTGTTCGCAAGTCATGTTCAACGTTGGTTCAAAAAGCAAACTCGCACACTTTTTGAACACTTCGCAGGCGAGCACGTTTTAGGAACAAACATAGAACACATGGATTTTCCTGATGAACGACGCGATCCTCGTCGTCGTTGACCGATTGACCAAAATGGCCCATTTCACCGCCTACAAAACGACAATTACTGCCGAGCAGACAGCAAAACTGTTCCTCACGAACATCGTGCGGCTATACGACATCCCATCGGCAATCATCAGCGATCGTGACCCATGGTTCACGTCCAACTTCTGGACAAAAACCTTGCAGCAGTACGGCACACGTCTGCAACTGTCTATGCCGTACCACCTGCAATCGGACGGTCAGACTGAACGCACCAACCAGATAATGGAGCAGCTGATTCGCACGACATGCACTGACCCGACCCAATGGGAAGACGCCCTTCCCTTGATCAAGTTTGCGTGCAACAATGCCCCATAGGCCACGACTACTCAATCCCCGTTCTTCCATAATTACGGGATAGATCCGACAACCCCTCTATCACCACCGATAGAAAATACGGCACCAAGGTCTCATCTATTCGTCGAAAATCTCCGACAGTCTCACAAAAAAGTCGCCGATGCCATCCTAAAAGCCAACCAGAGGGCTAAGCAACAAGCCGACCGACGACCCCGAGACTTAAGACTTGTCCCTGGGCAATTGGTCCAGCTCGACACCGGGAATTTGGGAATCCCCCTCCCAAATAAATTATGACCAAGATTTTGCGGCCCCTTCCGCATCATCCGCATGGTGACACCTGTCACTGCCCAGCTGCAACTGCCGACCGACTGGCGAATTCATGATTCGTTCCACGTCAGTCTCCTGCGACCGTTCGTCCCGAGTGCGACCAATCTCGACCGTCAACATAGTAATCCTACGGTCAACCCAGTAGCCGAGCCGACGACAGTGCCGTCCAATATCCTCGCTCATCGTATACGGGGACATCGAGACACAAAAACGTCGATTTCTGTGTACGCTAGGTCGATCACACAAGTGACGACGGCCCCTGGGTTCCTGCAGCTACGTTCGGTAAAAAAAGAGTTGTCCGTGACCATTTACACCGACGACGTATGTCGGATGTGGGTAGTCTCATTCCGGAAGGGAGGGAGGGGGGGGGAGGGGGGGGGGGGGGGTGGGGTGTAAGGAAATTCCCTTTTCCTTACTGGGCTCGACTACAACGCGTACGCCCTCGACTCTCGGAAGTCCAGGCCCGACCAAATTCTTCGGTCCCGAACCACTTCGCGAACCCAAACCTAGACGCGCGGCGCTTCCGTGGATTTCGCCAACCGGACCACCCCAACCTGTTCGCGTGGTTCTCGGCTAGCTCTGTTCGTGCTTATAAATGCCTAGGCCCTCATTTGTATTGACACTCTTGAATCACGACTCCTCTATTACACTACCTGTTAAACCTCTGATTAATTCATAACAGCACCCTTGCAGTCTATTTTTAGTAACCCTTCAAATCTGTGATAGTATCCCTAAAGACACAAATAGATTGCTTGAAAACACATGGCAATCTTGCTGGTGTTATAAAACAGCTTTGCATGAAAGTACATTCTAAACATCTGACAAAGGTGACTCAGAAGTATGCTTAGAGAGTCACTTTCAAAATGCACATTTTCTTCCGATGCGACGGCTGGCTAGTTTTGGGCAGGGAGGAGCTGGGTGACGTGGAACTTCACGGAATTCCAGTTCTTGGTTAGGTGCATGAATGGGCTCTGTCAGCCACCGAGGCAGCTCAATTGAGTGGAGGAGAGCGGTCGTGACTCGTGAGCACGAAGTGGCAACCGAAAAAAAAATCCCGAAGTTCAACCAGGTTCCCGCTGGGTTTCCTTTGGGTTGCCCGGAAACGTTTTGATTGGCTTGAGTACAAGTGCAAACGAGCAGTGGCATAATTTGAGTATAGGCGATGTTGTCCCGAAAAAAAAAAACATCCTACATTTCGCTGCCGCTTCAAGTGGAGGATCCCCTCGTAATTCGTTCAACCAATGGTTGGCTAGTCTAAATCGTGCCGATAAGAAGGCACTGACGTGTAGCGACACGGGGCAGGTGAACTTGGATGTGAAAAGTGTTCAGCTGACACCTTCCTGCGGATTGGTGCAGCTCGCATTGCTCCTGCTCTCGCTGCCAACCTCCCACCAATGAGGTGTTGCCCAAAAGTCGGCAAGAAGCGGGCAGAAATTTCTGAGAGCGACATCCCACTATGGACTGATCTTGCAACACTTCTAGTCGGTAACCTCGGACCCCGTTCTCCGGTGGACTGCACTGCACTGCAGTCCTTACGCGACGATTCGTTCCGTCCTGTGAGGGAGTCTCGACTCGGAAGCGGGGCGTCCACGGATGTTGACGTCCATCATCGGCGCAGAACGGTACTTAAGCTTCTGGTAAGTTTCGTGGGTTTATATTTCTGTGCCTCAAACATCCGATTTTCTCCTGACTGGCCGGCAATCTGGGCGGTGTTTGGGAGCCAGGTTGGGGACCCAAGCTGAGGAAGGGTGCACGAAACAGAGGGGCGGTCAAAATGGGGTCAACGGACGACGACCCATACCTCGAACGCGACGTGGAGTCGCGCCTGGGGGGAAAAAAAAAGGAAAAAAAAAAAAGGAAAAAAGGAAAGCGCGGGCCTCAGTGGAGGAAGACACGACCCCTTCAGCAGAGATCCAGCCAGCTGAAAACACTGTAGCTGGGCAGCTACAAGGTTAACACAAACGTTAAGGCGGTGGAGGAAAAAAACAGTACGGTACGCAAGTCGAATTACCAAATTCTAACGCAACCAAAACACACGACCGACGGGTGTACTGTCGGGGAGGAGGTTTTTGACTTGCAGTACTCCCCCCTAGGGAGTGTAATCCGCTAGTTTCCAACTACCCGGGTTCGGGGGACCAGAAACGGGTTCCCCGAGTTTTGTCTAAGGCCTGGAACTCACTTATGGTCCCCTCTCAGGCTGGCGGACCTCTTCCCCACAGGGGGTTTGGGTTCCCTGGGCCGAACAGGGGACCCATTCTGGTGTGGTCCCCGAGCCGCGTTTTTGGCCGTGCTTTGGTTGGGCCCTTTTAGCGAGTTTTGGGCTCTGCCCGCGGTGTGGAACCCTAGCTCGGATGTGAAGAACCATCCTTTTGGAAGGTTCAATGGGTCCCCTCGAATGGCTCCCAACATTGCCCTGGACCCACTCGCAGACTCCAGAAAATTGGGTTCGAGTGCACGAGGCGGCAGATGAAGCGTCGAGCGCAGAGTCCATACGTGCGCGAGACTTTCCTCTAGTACTAGGGGTTGGAGAAAGGCTAGAGTTTGCCACTGGCTCAAACCTTGGGCAAGGTATGGTTGGACCTTCTGGCTAGCATCGTCGTCTGGTTTTCGCTCCCAGGACAATTTTTTATGCGCCGTTGGTAGGAGTCGCCGGCGGAGCCTTCAACAGACTCCAGTTTCCGTGAACGGCTTGCCGCGACCATCGCGGCGAGATGGAGCGCGCAGGCCTTCAGCTCGGCGCGCTGCTCTTGCTGATGTGTCTCGCGTTCTCACGAATCGACTGCGTTCCCCTCGCCAACTCCCAGGGTGTGTGCTGTGTGTTCGGTGTGCTCGATCTCAGCGTTTCGTTGAATGGGCGAAGCGCTTCTTGCGGGTTTTCATCGCGTGAGTGGCTGGAGGAGCAAAGCATCCCAGGGTGTGTGCTCGATGATGATAACCGTGACACAACTTGTGGTCTGACCCCCAACACGTTCCCGCCACTCCTCCCACCCCGCATTTTCGAGCCGCACCGTCCTCAACAGCATTGACCGCGGCGTTGACCGCGCTACTGCTACGGTTAGGTACACCCACGTATTCGATTAAATAGCACGTATTAGAATCCGCTTTTTGTTACAATCACCCCAAGTTTGGTTCAGGTGTGTAATGTCGCACGGAGAGCGAGTCCCGTCGAACGAGGGTTTCTCAGGCAAGCGACTTAATCGAATTCTTGGGTGTAGCAGGGTAGCGAGGTTAGCGAAGGGCAACGGCGTGTGGTCCCCCGGCGAGAGAGTGGGTGGGGGAGCGCGGAGAGTTGGACAGAGCGGAGATAGCGTGGATGAGGGGAGGGCGGAAAGTGGGTGAGTGGGTGAGGTCCTCCCCGGGGGAGGGCGGAGCCTGCGAGTGTGGGTGACGGGAGGGCGGAAAGTGGTTTATAGTAACCAGGGTTGGTTAGCGCGGAGAATCGACCGCAGACTAAATAATAAATTTGTGGGTGAGGGGACGAATGAACCCATGGGTCGACACGGGCTGTGATACTATGGTGGAAGTGAGAGGAGATGAGAGGTGGGAGGGAGATGTTGGAGATTGATTGGAATTATCACGAACGTTGCTAAATCTCCCATCTTCCTCCCTGAATCACCCCTCTTCCGCCCACTCAAGAGTTCTCCCCTCGTCTTCTGCCCTTTCCTTGTAAACTGGCAGCAGGTCGAGGGCGTGGACTGCGAGGAGGCGAAATCATCTTCCTCCCCTCTGTGCCTATCTATCGCTTCCCTCCCAGCGCAAGTCCTGCTGGACTGCCAGAGGGAGTGGAACACAACGATTGAAGGCTGGAAGATTGGTGGCGACTGCAATAATGCGACCAGCGTCACCTGCGATGCCCAAGGCATGATCACCGACATGTGAGTCAACTCTCGAGCCTGCATTCCTAGAATAGTAGGAGCCCAATTCCTCCTGGCCTCGCCATCCCCTCCTAGATTCATGTTTCCCTCTCCCTCCCTCTAGACATGGGCTTCAACCGAGCCGGCCAGAGCCAGGGTAGAGCCAGGGGGCGGGCGAGCCAAGCTGGCTCGAGCCAGGTCGACCGGCTGCAAATTTTGGCCGGCTCGCTTCGTCCAAACAGGGTGGAGCCGGGCCCCAGCTCGAAAACGAGCCGGCTCGTCTCGGCTCAACCAGTACAGGGTGGCGGGGGGATCCTTTTTGGGAGGGCCCTGAATTCTGCCAAATGCGAGCACGTGAGCCCCTGGACATTTGTGCAGCTTGTCATGGGCTATGCAGCCCGAGGTGGAAAAATTGGGCAGGCCGTTTTTTCCGATCGTTTTTTTCGGTGATTTTGGGAAAAGAAAACGCCGAATTTCAATAGGCCACTCAGGAGCAAAAAATAAAAAAAAATGTAGAAAGCCTAAACGTCCGCCAGTTCCGCGCATTCCGTCTGTCGAAACGCGAGACACGATCATTTTTGGGGGAAATGCCAGATCCACGCAATTTTTTTAACCAAATAAATCATCTTCAACAGTTTTTTTTTTAACGAATAAAACGCCGAAAAATACGGTACCGTAGCAAATGGCCTAAAAATGAAAAAAAAAAACGCCGTTTTTTAAAGCCTTGTGAATTTTGACCCCCTAGGAGCGAGTGCCGCGGCGCCCCGTCGAGCCGTGCGGGAGCCGGAATCGACCCCGGCTCGAGTCCCGATTGCGCGTCAAGCAGAGCCGAGCCGCCGGCTCGCCCGGCTCTGCTCGGCTCGGCTCGAGGCAAGCCGGGGACAAACGAGCCGAGGCGGCTCGTTTTATAGCCCATGTCTACCTCTCTCCATCTCTCACCCTCTCCTCTCAATCCCTCCATCGCTCTTTCTCCCTCCTCTTCTCACTCCCTCCATCCCTCACTTCCCCCATCCGACACCCTCTCTCCCAGTTGTGCCCAACTGGAAAGTGATTGTATAAAGCAAAATCAATATAGCAGAAAGTGTGCATCTATCCTTTTCACCATACGTGCAATATGTTGTCCATGTAATATACACTCTCTCGGCTCATGCGCGCCCTCCATTGCTGTCCCATCAGAACCCTGGAGTACAACAGCTTCAGTGGCACAATTCCTGCTTCCATTGGCAAGCTCACAAACCTTCGCACCTTGTGAGTGTCTTTCTTTGTTGACTTGACACAGAGTGAGCCACAGCCAGACCTCGCTTGACATACAGCAGAATAGAAGCATGAACACTGCATACTATGTAGCTATGTACTACTATGTAGCTATGTACTACTATGAGCTGTGTGCTCGTCAAATAGTACGCTTTAATCCCTCAAAACTGGTTGTTTCTTGTCTTTAACCGTTATAACCCAAGACCAGGCCAACAAAATCAAATTCATTGTAAACACTCTTCCCTTCCTGATTCACTGAACGCAGGGATCTGTTGGAGAACGGTCTGTCTGGGCCGGTACCATCAACAATCGGCAATCTTCTGGCTTTGACCAGCTTGTGAGTGTCTTCGTCAAAAGGCCGAGATGGTTCCCACTAGACATGGGCTAAGGCCCGAGCCGGCTCGGCCCTGGCTCGAACCGAGGGTTGAGCTGGCTGTTGTTTGTTGAGCCAAGCCGGCTGCCCGGGTTGAGCCGGACTGAAAATTTTGCTGGTTCCGCTCGGGTAAAATCTGTCAAGCCAAGCCCTGCCTCGACGTTCGAGCCGGCGTGGCTCGGCTCGGCCGTCTTTTTTTTAAGACATAAACGCGCTTCGCTGACCCTGAAATGTTGCTTAAGTAACCCCAAAGAGCTCGAGTTTTATCTAAAACGTCGCTACTAAGCCAAGTATAGCACGTGGGCTAGTTAGTTGAAGGATAAGGGGTGGGCTAGGGACTGACTTGCACCAATTTCCGCACATCCAACTCGTTAAGGGGTTTGAAATTGGAACTTCAATCCCAACAAACAATCTCCCCAACCGCATCCAACCATACTCCGTCTCCTGAACCCAACTCTTTTGCTTCACTATTTTCGCAAGTCAGTCTTTCACGTTATTCCCTCCCTAGGATCTCGCGCCTTAGTCCATAGCCCGCCATCAGCCATGTCGACCCCCCCTAACACCCCCGCTAGTGCAACCCTTGTCACGAATGCGTAGGGGCAAGTGTCGCGGCTCCACGTCGAGCCGCACGCAAGCCAGGTTCGAGCCAGCTTGACACTGGCTCGACGCATCACAGCAGGCGAGCTGAGCCAAGCCTCCGGCTCGCCAGGCTCGACCCAGGTCGAGCCAAGCCTGCCCAGGCCCTATTCCCCCATGTCTGATTCCCACCTTGGTTCTTACGCGCCCATTCAACAATGCCAGTTGAAATTTGACGTGGGCATGAGCCGAGCCTGGCTCTGCTCGGCTCGTTTTGGGTCGAGTCGAGCCAGCTCGGCTCGATGGCGAGCCGGGACCCCCGAGATACCCGTCTCGGCTCATCCCCATGTTGGCGAGCCGGCGCCGGCTCGGCTCGGCTCGCCTTGTTGATCTTTAGGGGTTGGTTGGTGGTTTCCTGGGATCCCTGTTTGCCAGCTTTGGCTAGTTGCGCTGCATGGACTGAGTTCGCCAAGCCCTACACAAACTCCTAATCTAGACTAGTTGGTGCTTTAGAACTAGCTAAGGCGCGCGCAACGTACGAACAATGTAGTTGCTGGCTAGGGTTAGTGGGATTGGGTTGGGGATGGCGTGGTACTAGTCTTTGAGGAGAGTGTTCCGTGGATGTACCCACGCCAATCCCCCCAAACCAAATCCCGAGGCGCGAGTCACTTGGCTCGAAATCGAGCCAGGGGCGAGCCGGCTCGCCCCGCCTCGCCATAAAAAAACGGCGACGAGTCGAGCTGGCTCGGCTCGCCTCGAGCCGGGTACCAAGAAAAAAAGGCCCGGCTCACTCGCCAGAAAGGTGAGCCGAGCCAAGCCGAGCCGGGTGTGGCTCGGCTTCTGCCCACGTCTAGTTGAATTGAATTGAAATCACCACCCACAACCGTTTTTCATAATAGCAGCTTCACCCTTTAGTTGTGAGCGCATGAATCGCTTCCACCACATTCTTTCGTCCATGGCTGTACTGAGTACGATGGGAGAAGGAAGGAAAGGAGAAATACACACGACCACATGCCAGTTCACAGCGACATTCATTTAAAAAAAAAGAAAAAAGAAAAAAAAAGAAGGTGCCCCACAGTCCCATGGAAATTTGTGTTACTGCACAGGGTTTACAAAATATGCTGTCACCAAATGCGTGCCCTCCATTTTTCTCTGCTCTCGCCAGAATCCTTAGTCAAAACAGCTTTTCTGGCTCAATTCCCGACTCCTTCATCAATCTCACCAACCTTGTTTTCTTGTGAGTGCTAAACTTCGTTGCTTTTACATGTGAGCCACACAGCCAGTCCTCGTCTGTTCATTCTCTACGAGGATGAACATCATCTCAGCACAGAAACAACTGTCACAAAGCTTTCACACGTTTTTTTATTACACCCCCATTCGACACTCCTTATTTACCAAATGCAGGAGTTTTTGGCGTAACAATATGAGTGGGCCGATACCAACAACAATAGGCAAACTTCCAGCGTTGACAAATTTGTGAGCCTCTCCAACAGGCTCACTTCTATTTCCAACATTTGATCTCATCTCACCACCCATAATCTTTATCCATAAAAACAGATTCACCCTTTATCCATGAACGCATGAATAATTTCCATCACATTTGCCTCTCAATGTTTTCTATATTCTGTGTTTAATTTAATGCCATCCTAATCGTGACTGAATTTCAATTCACTTCAATGTTCGACATGCTTTGCCTTCGAAATTCCACACCTGTTTCCCATTCCAAAACTCCTATTGTTCTCTCCCTGCTCTCCTTGTCCCCTTTGCTAAATCACCCACATTGCAATCCTTGCTATCCTCCAAGCCAAGGTCGTCTCAAACTGTTTATTCTCAGAATTACCTTAACATCCCATCTTCGTTCAACCTGCTTCTCTCCTGCTGTTATACTATGTACGCATCAACATATTGGCTGCCTTGCTGCACCTGCTCCCAAGCGAAGCAGTGACGAAGCTCGATGAGTTGAGTGCCTCCATGCACGCATGCCCTCCAATGCTGCGCAGCTTCAGTGCTGTCACCGCCGTCTGCGCGCCCTGCAATGTTCTCTCATCAGAATCCTCAACTACAACAGATTTACTGGACCGATTCCCGACTTCATTAGCGAGCTCACACAGCTTCGTAGCTTGTGAGTGCCATTCGTTGTTGGTTTTACATGTGAGCCTCACTGCCAGTCCTCGCTTGCTCATTCCCTGCACGGATCGGCATCATCTCAGATTGCACGCCTTCACTTGACCCATGCGCGTCTTGCCATGAGTTGTGTGGTGTGGTCTCTGAAGGTATGCTTTAAGCCCCCAAAACCGAAAGGGATACGATTTGCAATATCTTTTCTTTGTTGTAGTGCCTCCTTTACCATTAGATAGTTCTGCAATCCTCACTGATTTTCCTTGAGAGGATACATGTTTTTTTCCGGTTTGTGTCTAACCAGTTTGATTTATTTTCCTTCCTGTTGCATGGAGTACGATAACGTAGTGTGTAGCCGCTGTGATGCATATTCCATACTCTCTCCCTCTCCTTTTGACACTCGATATTTTATAAACGCAGGGCTATTTCAGGCAACCAACTGACTGGCTCAATACCAGCAATATTAAGCAACCTGCGGTATTTGTTGAACTTGTAAGCCTCTTGACTTGAAAGTTTTGTGGGGTTTTGGATTTAGTGCAGGTGGGAGCTTAGGCTGTGATAAAAAACTTGTAAACGAAATGAGAGGTCTGGCGCGTCGATTTTCGTACATCAAATCGGATGACTTCATCCATGTAATTTTTTTCAAGGGTGGGGACGGAAACGAAGTGATGGTGGGGGGCGGAAGGAAATCATTGCCCTCACTCCGCCCTGCTGCAGTTTCATTTCATCCCCCCCTTGCTGTACATGTCGATCCTTCCCCCGCCAATTATTGAGTCAACTGAAAAGCCCCGACACCACTCGTCATTCATTTTCGAGTGGAGGCGGACGAGTAATTGCTGGCATTTGGCCGACTCGACTCGACTCGACTCGACTCGAGTCACCAGCCAAAATCCCCAAACTCGACTCGAGTCGGCGAGTTGAGCCTAAACTCGACTCGGTTGCTCTTTTCTCTTGGCCAGTCTGCTCTGAATCTCTTCCATCACAATCCACTGTCAGAGTTCTAAAAGTATGTTGGTGTGTTTACTGCATAAATATGCCTCCCTAATTGCTACTGAACATTGATTCTCTTCAACATGCATGGTCTACTGTCATGAATGCTTGACACTTGCTTTCTGACACTCCCGTGTTTCGCTCCCATTGTTGTCCTCTTTGCCAAACCGCCGACACTGCAATTCTTCATCTCTTGAACGGTACTGTGTCACAGACTCGCTCTCAAGCAGTGTGTCACAGACTCGCTCTCAAGCAGTGTGTCACAAACTCGCTCTCAAGCAACCAGAACATCCCACTTCGATGCATCACCATCCATAGGGGTTGCTAGGCTTGGGCATAAGACCGGGTCGGGTCGGGTCAGGGTATACCCAGTCGGGTTGGGTCGGGGTGTTTGGTTCTGACGGGTCGGGTCGACTAGCGACCCGAATTGACCCTAAAATTTCGGGTCACGTAGGACCCGACGGGTCAACCCGACCCGGCTTCGGGTCTGAATCGTAGGGCAGGGGGAGGGAACCAATTTGGTTTGGGGGGGTCGGGTTGGATGACCCAGTTGGGGTTGGGTCGGATGACCTGGTTTTCCAGAATGTCGGGTCAGGTCCCGGACTTCCGGCCATCTTAGACTCGGCCACTATACATACACGGGTCGGGTCATGAATATGGGAGGGTCGACCCGACTTTGACTCGACCCGACCCGACCTGGACCCGAGGTCGGGTCATGCAAAATCCGGTCGGGTGAACAAGCCTAGGCCCTAGGGGTTGCCTTACACCACTCCCAATAAAAGCAGTAACGAATATCGACAAGTTCAAACCACCATGCATTGAAGATGGGGCGGGGTGCTCAATTTAGTGGATCATGCTCGCGTGGAGCATACATAGTATAGCCGCCGCCTACTGGCATGGCATGCCATCCATCCACAGTCCATGTGGATATGTTTGTCGTAGAAGTGCCCTTCTTTTCCAAAGGTAGCACAGATTCTGTACTCACTATGTTGGGAAAGGAGGGAGAGAGTGAGAAAATCTCAAGATGCTAACCAAGGCCACAGCAGCATCAGATTCAGAAGCAATGTTCCTCTGTGCCTCACCGTGTGCGATGTTCCTCTGTGCCTCACCATGTGTAATATTCCTCTTTGCCCCTGTTCCTCTGTCTCCCATTCTTGACTCTTAAGCGACCTTGGCTACAACGGCTTTATCGGCACAATTCCTGATTTCATCAGCGTCTTGACAGATCTTCAAAGCTTGTAAGTCCCATTGGGTTAACGTGCGAGCCACAACATGGCTAATATTCATCTCTCAACCATGCCGGCTTTGCCATGAGCTTTGTGCTCACAAATTGGTGTCTAACCTTAACCCTTCCTTTTTGGCGTTCCTTTTCCGCGAAATACAGAAAGCTCATCTCTAACAATCTGACGGGCCCGATACCAGAAGCCATAAGTAATCTTCGACTGTTGAACAACTTGTGAGCCTCGCTGACTCTGACCTCAATTCTACGGCTCACTGTCTACTCTATTGTTGTGATTAACTTTGCTGAAAATCTTTACCAAAACTTGTTGTATCTCCCTTTGCTTGGAAGTAAGCCTGTAAATACAATATTCGGTATTTGCACACTATTTGGCCAAATACCCAAATACAGAACGAGTTCAAATTGGCTGTTTATTCGCAAGTATTCGGTGGTCAAATAATTGTCTTGGACGACTATTTGGGTTATTCGTGAAATATTCGTATTCGACATGGCATCATGTCTCGCCCTGTTGTTTTGTGGGGGAGAAGCGGAAACGTCAGATAATGAAGAAATCAGTCGTCAGGGATTAAGGTGCTGATAAAGTAGACATAGTTTAACGGCGTTTAATTACCTAATTTAGCACAACTAGAGGGAGGTTATCTGGTGAAAAGCTTGAGGTTGTGAGAGAGATCAAGGTTGTCCAGGGTAAAGTAGGTGAGCGTTGAGCGTTAAGCTCGATTTTGTACTCCTTGTTACTAGAGATGGTTGTATGTCATCGCATCGCGCGATATAATATCGCATATATCACAAAAATGTGATAGTGATATTATATTTTTTGTCCAGAAAAAATATCGCGCGATATAATGCGATGTAGATCGCGCGATATTTTTATATCGCATTTATATCGCGGGTTTTCCCCTGCGATATATTGCGATATGCGATCTTTTTATATCGCATGCGATATTTAATATTGTATAAGATATCTTTGCGATATCTATGCGATAACTGTGCGATATCTGTGCGATATCGATGCGATATGCGTGCGATAATTTAATACCGCATACGCTTTTTAGGGCCTGGAAACAGCATTTAAACCATGATTTTAAATGCGGTGCGATATTAAATCGCATAGCGCGATATATCGCTTTTTTTTCTTATTGTGATATAAAAATATATCGCACCGAAATTGCGATATGCGATACCTGTTTCGCAGCGATGCGATATAACATCGCGCGATATAAATCGCGATCGCAGCAAGTGCGCTGCGATATTATATCGCATTGCGTTTTAACCATGTCTACTTGTCACCGACCTGGGCTGAACCTGGGCGAGCAGCAGAAATCTTGTAAACCGTAATTCGTAAGATCCAGTAAGCAGAATGGGTCCGTGACAAAAAAAGGGCGGATAGCTTGAGTATTCTAGACACATTCGTATTTGTCTCGTACTCACCAGGATTCGACTCGAATTCGTATTCGATAGCGAAGCAACTTTTCGGGCAAATACAATTTCAGCTTCTATTCGCGAATCGCAACTATTCGACAAAAAAACATTCGTATTCGTATTTACAGGCTTTGTACAATCTGTCCACCACCTATGACCTGGACATGAGCAGATGAGTCTACTGACTCGAATCGAGTTCGCTGACTCTCGACAAGCAGTTCAGTGGAGGGACCAAGGGGGTGGCATTGGCGTTCTGCATGAGGGAGGGGGAGGGGGGGGCGGGGCAGGGGATCGTGATGTATCATGCACAGCACAGGGGGAATCGAGACTTAGGGGAGCAGGGGAGATAAAAATTCAGCAGGGCGGGGTGAGGGAAACATTTGAAAACCCAAAATACTCGAGTCACTTTTGACTCTTGAGCCCAAGAACTCGACTTGAGTTAGCCCTGACTCGAGGCCTAAGGTCGAGTCACGAGTCGGGGCTGGCCGAAGCGCGACTCAACTCGAATCGATGGCGACTCAGTCAGACTCGACTCATCTCGACTCGTGTTTTAGCCTACCTAGTATCCACACACACGCATTCCAAGTGGAATTGGCTGTCATGGGAGTACTTTTCTTCTCCCATGTTGTACTAGGTATAGATGGAGTGGATATGGCAAATAAGAAGGAAATATACAAGTCACAGAAATGAGGAGATGTTAAATCCATCCGCAGGTAGTGTCGTCCATCTATCCTCTCACCACATTGTCGAATGCATACGCGCGCAGTACTCCAATTCTCTCTCCAAATGTGTGCCCTCTATTGTCCTCTCAGTGAGTTGAGCAAGAACAGATTCACGGGCTCGATTCCTGACTTCATCAGCTTGCTCACGGGTGTGACGGGATTGTAAGTTTCCTGTGTTGACACGTGGCAATGAGCAGCTGTAATTGGCTGATTATGTAAGTTACAAATCTTGGGTATGCAGACCCCGCATGATCACCATGTCTCGGACATATTGTCTCAACCTTTGTTGGGTTTGGTAACAACCCATCATGGGTTACCCATACAGTGTGAATGGCCTTCGCGCGCAAAGTGAGTTGGAACGTTACACCCTGTGCAAGGGTGGTTTACAAACAAATCTTACCATGAAAATGGCACTAGTCAGCAGACTATACTCTGACAAGAATCAGCACACTCCAGCCAGCAGGGTGGTTTGAACGTATGCTGTGAGCCCGTGAAACGGATGTCAAGGAGTACAGCAGCTTTCCATACTTTCCACCTTATTCTGAACAAGGCTCGAACCGGTTCTGACACATGAGCATATTCGTCGTATTCTGTGCACTTGAAAATATTCTGCACTCCTTGCAGCTTTACCCTGTTACTGTAAGTGCAACTAGCAGGAGGCGCAATTTTCAGTTCGGCCTTCATTCTGCCCATTTTACAATCCCGTTTCTACATATTGCAGATATTTTCATACAAACCAGTTAACTGGCCCACTTCCAGCAGGAATTGGCAGCCTTCCATTGGTTAAACTGTGAGCATGTCGACGTTAGAGATCACATCCTATTCTGCCATTCAATGGATTTCGCATGACTGGTTTTCCGCTCACTCATCAAGGCAGGAAGCCCATTTTATGCTCGTGTGCGTTGTCCTGTCGTATATTCCTGATTGTCTTTGAATGTACAAGCCGTGGCCTCAGTGTGCCGTCGGCTCCTTCTTCTCCACCAACAGGAGAAGTGGAAATGGCTGTACTGGGTACATTGGAAGATACAACGAGACAGATTTTGTTCAAGACATGAAGCTAATTCTGAAGCATTGTCAATCTAGCGAACAGTGTTTGTCATGTTCTCAATCTCCATATTGTCTCATTACATGCGTGTGCAATAGAAATGAGCAAGGGCCAGGTCTGGTCTGGCCCCGGCCTGCCACGGGCCGGCTCAGGCAGAAGTCCGAGCCACTACAGCTTAGTACTCTGTCACGGGTGACGGTAGACATGGGCAGCATGCCGAGCCTGGCTCGACTCGGCTCGACTCGACTCGCCTTTTTGGCGAGTCGAGCCGAGATTTTTTTTTGGCTGGCTCAACCCGAGTCGAGCCGAGTCGAGCCGGTCGAGCCGCGCGGCTCGGCTCGACTCGTCGCAAATTTCATGGCGAGCCAAAGTCGAGCCGGCTCGACTTTGGCTCGAATTTGGCTCGACTCCTGAAGCGCACGGCTTGCCAGCGGGGGGTCAAAATTCGACCGCAATGGAAGACGAAAATCCATTTGGCGAGTCAAGCTGAGCCGAGCCAAGGTCGAGCCGACCCTTGGCTCGACCCTGAACCCCCGAGTCGAGCCAACCATTTTGGGGCAGCCGGCTCGGGTCGAGTCGAGTCGGCTCGGCTCGACTTTTACCTGGCTCGAGGTCGAGTCGAGCCGAGTCGAGCCAGGCTCGGCATGCTGCCCATGTCACCGTGATGGGCCGGGTCCGGCTCGCTACGGTCTCCTAAATTTATGGTCTCTTGTATTCTCGCTCATCAGATCCCTTCACAGCAACCGCTTAACTGGCACGATTCCCGACTCTGTTAGCAAGCTCACCGATCTTCGAAGCTTGTGAGTACAGTACAGCAGGCATGCTAATTCTCAGACTGGAGCTGTGTACTTCTTGCTTGCCACTGGCTGCATGTTCTTCAAGCGTTTGCTTCAAGCTGACTGTGGATGTACAATAAACCAAGGTGCAAAAAAACGGCATCCGTATTAAACGGTCCGTTTTAAACGGCCGTTTTTTACGGTGGGTTTTGGTAAAAAACGACGTTTTTTTGTTAGACCTTTTTTCATGATTTTTTTTTTCTTTCTTTCTTTATAAAAAGCACGCGTAAACAAGTGGCCTGATTGCTAAGGTGGCCTGCATCTTTCTACGGGGTAATTAGCGGCTTTGAAACAGGCATGTGATGTCCATGCCCCTAGTCCGTCGCCTTCTAGGTCTCATTCTGCTCCTACTCCACCATCCCCCCCATCCTCCTCCTCCTAAGCGTCATCCACCTAGTCCTCCCGCCCCTTGTCCTCCCCCCCCTAGGCGTTATTAGCTCGGCCAAAAACAATTTACACCGTATTATACGGTGGTACGAAAAAACGGTCGTATAAAACGGCCGTTTTTTTGCACCAAACGCAAAATGCAACTTTTGACCGTTTTAATCGTATTATACGACCGTTTTATACGATCCCGTTTTAAACGGTCAAAAAAGGTAAAAAACGCCGTTTTTTTGCACCTTGCAATAAACAGCTGTGCTGTTGAGTCTATTTCCTTGGTAGCCCTCGTCTGTTGGGTCCAAAGCTATATATGCGTCTACCTTTATCTGAAATGGTGTCATTTTGCACCTAGCCTCTTCTTGCATGCACGTTGCCTGCAGCACTAAATAGAGTAGATTAAAGGGTGTTTCACCGCTATGGTGAGTAACCTGGGTATCACGCCTTTATTTTCCCCATTTTCCACTCCTATTAATAAAATGCAGATTGCTTGATCAGAACAGGCTGACTGGCTTCATACCACCAGCGCTAAGCAGCCTTGAATTTTTGACAGCATTGTGAGCCTCTTGAATATAAGGGCAGCTTTTCAGAGGCTCACAACGTATTACATTTTTCCACTCACAGCACAGCAGTTAATGAAGGAAAACTTTCACTTTGTTCACGCATTCAATTCATACACGCTACTCTCGTTACGTTTGCCTGTCAATGCATTCCAGCGTTTCTCCTTGTTCCCTTGTATCTATTATCTAAAAAAAAAAAATCCCTCTCCGTCACCACTAGGAGACTTAACCAAAATGGCTTTTCTGGACACATTCCATCTACTATCGGACGTATGAGGAGCTTGACCGAGATGTGAGTATGGGTAAAAACTAGACATGAGCAAAACCGGGTAATTACCTGACCCGGCCCGGTTTTGCACTACCCGCAATCGGGTCAGGGTCGGGTCGGGTCAGGTAGTTACCGGGTAATCTCTGAAAGTCTGCTACCCGACCCGGCATTTTAATACCGGGTAATTCGGTACCTGTGTGACGGGTCGGAAATGCCCGACCCGCTTTTAATTGAAGTCGGGTATTATTACCCAGGTACCCCTAGATTAGACATGGGCATGAGCCGAGCCTGGCTCGGCTCGGCTCGTCCAGGGGTCGAGCCGAGCCGGCTCGCCGTCGAGCCTGGCTCGGCTCGAGTCGAGCCGGGCACCAAACATGCCTGGCTCGGCTCGCATTTCTGTGGGCGAGCCAGGGCTGGCTCGACGGCGAGCCGGCTCGGCTCGACTCGCCTAGCATGCGCTTAAGCCAACAGTAGTGTGGGTGGAGCCTATGCAAGCACGCGTTGTTAAGAGTGGCGCGGGCTGCTTAAGATTTCTCGTGCGAACTAACCTAATGAGATACTCCTAGGCGCGCGGAATTCTAGGGTTCGCGAAATTGACGGGAAGTGGATTGTGAGGAGGAAGAAGGGTGCAAGAGGTTAGGTTGGAAGTTGTAGATGCAGTAGTGTGCAGTGCGGTTGAGCGGGGCAAAAGGGTTGGATGTGTCTTTGGTCGTCAAAGTTTGGGGTTGCGACTGGTTGAATTCGCGAGGTCGCAATGTCGCGGGAAAGAATTCCGCGTCAAACATTTTGGGCGAGCGTTTAGCGTTTACCCTTTAAACGCAGCGTTTAAACGATAAACGCTGCACCGCTAGAGCGATTTCGGGAACATAGACTAGGAGTTGTTGGCGGGAGAGAGAAACGGGAGACACTTTTGTCGAGGGGGAAATTTACCCTTGAAATCGAGTGGCGAGCCACCTGGCTCGAAATTGAGCCGGGAACGAGCCGGCTCGACCCCGGCTCGATGAGGACATTGTGTACGAGCCGAGTCGAGCCGGCTGGCTCGACCGAGCCGAGCCGGCTCGGCTCGAGTCGAGCCAGATCCTGAAAAGAAAGGCTCGGCTCGTCATTTTGGCGAGCCGAGCCGAGCCGAGCCGGATATGGCTCGGCTTGTGCCCATGTCTACCCTAGATTAGTGATGGTTATATTGCATCGCATCCCGCGATATAATATCGCATATATCGCAAAAATGCGATAGCATATACTGCTTCTTATTGCAATATAAAAATATATCGCACCGAAAATGCGATATGCGATACCTGTTTTTGAAGAATGATATCGCAGCGATGCGATATAATATCGTGCGATATAAATCGCGATCGCAGCAAGTGCGATGCGATATTATATCGCGTCGCGTTTTAACCATGTCTACCCTAGATGGCTGTAAAATTTAGCAGTAAATGCTACTCTATGGGAGAACCTGATGAGAGTGCGTCTCGAAGACCTGTGAATGCGTTGTTGAGGTTGAGGGGAATAATGCAATTCTTTTGCATGTGTTTGCTGGGACATAATTGCCCTTATTCGGGAACCTGTGCTCTAACTTCAGGTAGAGTTGATGAAACCCGAAAACGGACGTCTAGGCAGCATAAAACGCCTCGGAGTAGCCCTTTGTCTACTCCCTTACCCTAAATTTCCTTAAAACTAGGTGCGGTTGTAGTAGACCTGCTGCAAAATGCTCCTAGGTGCATGTTAGGGTAGGCTTAGGTAGATCGCAACTACGAAGGGAAGAAATCGCAGGAAATTTTGACCATATGGTCCAAATTTCCCAACCAGCGCGAAAAATTACGCGCTGGTTTCCATCGGGTAATTGCGCGACCCAAAAACGGGTCGGATACCTGCGACCCGACTTCGGGTAGCAAACTCGAAGTTGGGTAGGGTACCCGCAACCGCAACCCGTCAGGTAATAAATTACCCAACATTTCGGGTAATGATCGGGTAACTGGTATGCATTACCCGGCCCGAGTACCCGACCCGACCCGGCCGGGTAATTTGTAAAAATCCTGTTACCCGACCCGGCCAAATGTCGGGTCGGGTCGGGTACCCGCGACCTGGCTGGGTAAAATGCTCAAGTCTAGTGAAATCGAGTACCTACTCGACTCATTTTTGGATGGCGAGTCCTTGATGCTACTAATCGTACTACACGTTCGCAGGGGGAAGAGGGGAAAGAGGGGGTCTGGGATGGTTGCATGAAACTGGGCAGGCAAGTCAACAAGTCATTCTTGAATGGTAGGGAAAAGCGTTGTGATGGGAATTACACAAACTGCCAGAGCGGGGAGCAAAATCATATTCGTAAACCGAAACAGATTGGCAATGGGTTGATCACTTTCGGCCCTGCGCTAGGTACACTGAGGGTAGTTATCTGATTTTCGTGCACAACATAGTAAGTTGGTTGTATGAGGACAGCAGCAGCGTAATACAAAGCATTTAAGGTTGTTATCTTACAAGTTCTTGGCACTATCCGACATGTGTTCGTGTCCATTGAGTAGACATGGTAACGAGATGAGCCGAATCGACTCGTCCACAAGCCAGCGACGAGCCGGGGTGTTCACAAGTCGAGCCGCAACGAGCCGGAGTCCAGCTCGTGACGAGCTGACTGGCACACAAGCCAGCAAGCGGCTTGTCTAAACCAAATGCCAGATCCACGCGGATCTGGTTTTAACCCGCCAGTCCAGATCCGCGTGGATAGCGACGAGCCGCCCGTCGGCTCATTGACGTGCCAGAACAAGCCGTGGGCTCATTCGAGCCGACCCACTTCGGCTCGTCTGGAGCCGGGGGAAAAAAGAATCAGCTCGGCTTGTCTTGTGGCTTGTCCCATGACCATGTCCACCATAGAGGGAGGGGGATATCCATCAACATACAACTCTGCGAGTATTTTTATTTGTTTGCAAGCTGACTTGTGGGTTTCGTGACGTTTCATAAAGCTGGTGAGTCTTGTTGTATGTGTGTGAGTAGTATTTGTTCTTGATTTTCACACAAGCCACATCTACACGAGTTAACAAGCTATATTTGCTACCTTTTGTAACTCCAACTGTCCAGGAAACACACCTTGCGTTCGCTAGAGGCTGAGTATAAATTATTGTTTCACTCTGAAGGAGAAAATAAAAGTCGTTCAGAAAATGGTGGGAGATGGCAAACAATGAGAAAATGTACTCTGGAGACTCGATGCAACAAACTTTTTCGCCTACTCGTCCTATTGTGAAATAACTTATGCGTGCAATATGTATGCTTGACCTCCGTTGTTTGCTTTTCAGAGGCCTTTCCAACAACAGCTTGATTGGAACAATTCCAAGCACCATTGGCAGGCTAACAAGTCTTGTTTCCTTGTGAGTGCGATTCTTCGTTCAGTTGACATGTGAGCCACAACCAGACCTAATATGCGCCCTTTCTTGGTACAGAGCGCCTTCATTGCAGGTTGGACTGGAGGTTTGATTTTTTTTAGCACTCGGGTTCTGCCATAGGCTTGAGCATTAACCAGACCCGACCCGACCCGACCCGACTTTGCCTAACCCGAGGTCGGGTTCGGGTCGGGTCGGGTCGGGTCAGGTCGGGTCGATGTTAGGATTTTGCCGACCCGACCCGACCATAGCTGGTCAGGTCATCTCCTACCCGCGGTCGGGTCGGGTTGATGCGACCCGACCCGACCCGACTTGACCCGACCTAACTAGAAGCTATTTTTTTCCCAGGGGGGAACAGCTGGATTTCGTAATTTCAAAATCCAGTGAGTCCTCCTCGTGTCTCCTAGCCCACCCACCTCATCCCCCCACAACCTCGACATGTGGTTTTGGGTGTTGGCGAAGTATTGGTTAGGTTGGAGGATGTTGACGAAAACCAGTGACGGAATGAATGGGTGTTGGCGACTTTTTGGTTGGTTTGGGGGTGTGGCGAAAGATTGGTTGGCTTGGGGGTGTTGGCGAGCTTCTGGTTTGGTTGCGGGTGTTGGCGAAAATTCGGGTGGGTTGGGCGTGTTGGCGAAAATTGTTTGGGTTGGGTGTTTTGGCGAAAATTGGCTGGGTTGGAAGTGTTGGCGAAAAGTTGGTTTGGTTGGGGGTGTTGGCGAAAATTGGTTGGTTTGGAAGTGTTGGCGAAATGTTGGTTTGGTTGGGCGTTTGGCGAAAATTGGTTGGGTTGGGCGTGTTGGCGAAAATCGGTTGGGTTGGGGGTGTTGGCGAGAAGTTGGTTGCTTTGGTGGTGGTGTCGACGAGCTTGTTGGTTGAGTCGATCCAATAGAAATCGATCTGGGTCTGTTTAGACCCTAATCTATACCAATAAGCATGGTGGGGAGCAAGGTGCAAAAAAACGGCATCCGTATTAAACGGTCCGTTTTAAACGGCCGTTTTTTACGATGGGTTTTGGTAAAAAACGACGTTTTTTTGTTAGACATTTTTTCATGATTTTTTTTTAATCAAAAGCTCGCGCAAACAAGTGGCCTGATCGCTAAGGCGGCCTGCATCGTTCTACGAGGTGATTAACGGCTTTGAAACAGGTATGTGATGTTCTCATCGCTAAGGTGGCCTCATCGTTCTAGGCCTCATTCTTCTCCTACTCCACCATCCCCTCGTCCTCCTCCTCCTAAGCATCATCCCCCTAGTCCTCTCCCCCCTACTCCTCCTCTCCTCCTCCCTGTCCTCCTGCTGCTCAGCCTCCTCCTGCTATTCCCTATCCGACTAGCCCTCATCCGCCTAGCCCTGCTCCTCCTCATCCTCCTTCTCCCAACTCTCGCCGTCACTGCAGTCCCATGGCGATCCCCCCTTGGCCCGCTTGAGAGGCTCGTCGGTTCCACTGCTATCGCCATCGCCCTCTGCTGCCTCCTCCTCCTCCTCCTCGTGCTCCTCCTCCTCCTCCTCCTCCTCCTCCTCCTCCTCCTCCTCCTCGACCACCTTCTCCTTCCCCTTTCGGGAAGTGTTGCCCTTCTTTGGCCTCTTCTTACCTCGGGTCTTGGAGCCACTCTTCTTCTTCTTCCGCCCAATGCTCCCGAATGTGTCCCAATCGACGGTACACGCCTCCCCGCCCTCTTCCCCTTCGGGGTCCTCAGCCTCGGGCACCTCAGCAGGTGGCGGGGGGATGGTTGCGCCCTCCTTCAGGCTGCCATCGCTCAGGTCGGAGTACAGCTTCGCGCGCACCGCCACTTTCTGGTCGAACGCCGCTCTCGCCCGCCGGCTGAACGCCACGAAAGTGACGTCGGTCATCGTCGTCGCACTCAGCCGGTTCCGGTCGCGGCGCTGGACGCGGGCCAAGGCGGACCAGTAGCGTTCGACCTCAGATGAGGTCATTGACTGTGATAGAATCATCACAGCCAGCTCCTGCAGGGCCGGCACCTCCCCTCCGTACATCCACCACCATTCTGCATCCGTCAGCCGCCCGCTTTCCACGAGGACTGCCGCTGCCCATCGGGCTTCCATGGATCCGAGGCGTCCCTCGCCCTTGTGAAATGTGGCGAGCTGGGCGGTGATCATACACTGCCGCTGCAAGTCGCCCCCCCTCGCCCGGATCACCTCGTCCGCTCCGTTCCTGATCTCCGCGTCCGCCCGCACCTCACCCACGTACTGGTTCCGCGGGCTGAGGAGCCAACCGAAAGCTTGCAGCGGGTTGTGGAGCTGCCCATCCCAGTGCTTGGCGATCACCTTCTTCACATCCGCCAAGAAGGCGGGCTTGTCCTTTGCCGCAAGCAAAGGCGTTTGGCGGACGAAGAACGTGGCTGCCGCCTCTGCCGCCTCGTTCGTTTTGACAGTGGCCTCTAACATGAGGCCATAGATGCGGCCCATGACGAGCGACCTCTTGTCGACAGTTCTGAGGACCGTGTAAATGGGATTCATGAGACGGAGCACCACGCCAACGGACTCCCAGAATGAGTCTGCTAAGAGGAGGTTGCGGACGGCCTTTCCTTCCTCAGACCGCGCCAGCGGCACCTCCTCCCACTGCTCGCTAATGACCATTTCCCGCAGCTGCCTCTTTGACCTCGAGGAACCGCCCGATCATCAAAACCTGAGTCCCAAATCGAGTAGAGCCGGGGCGGACGAGCTCCAACTGGCTGAAGACCTCACGGAACAGCGTGACGGCGGATGCGCTCTTCTTCACCATCGTCACAACCCGATGCACCTGGGTTAGGACTCGCCTCACGATCCTGATCGCGCCAAGGTCCTCCAGCGTAAGGTCAAGGACGTGAGCCGCGCAATTTGTGAAGAAGACTTGCGGGAAGCCGTCCTTCAAGATGCTAGCCGCCCGCTTGTTGTTAGAAGCGTTGTCCATGCATACTTGGACGACAAGTCGATCGCCCACGTTGCAGATAACGCGCCGAATCAGCTCGGCGAGGTATGGTCCGGTCTTCTTTGCAGTCTTAGAGTCCACGATGTCAACGACAACGGGAGCAGTGTCGTTCTGGGCAATGACGCACACCATGCCACGGCTTTTGAGGCATGACCAGCCATCGACGCTTAGCGAGCAGCCGGTGGTGCGCCACGTGTCCTTCAAAGGTTGTAAGAGCATCTCACATTCTGCCTTCAGTTTGTCGAGCAAGGGGCCAGACACCTTGTACGCAGAGGGCATTGTATAAGGCTTCCCGAAGCTAACCGCCGCGTTGACGAAGTCCTGAACCGCCTTCAACTGGGACGTTCGAAACGCCCAGTCATTCTCTGCTACGGCCGTCGCCCACAAATAGTCGAGGCGGTTACGGCCCGCCACGTCCGTCATTTCGCGGGTATCGCGCTGCCGCGTGCGCCCCCTTTGCGGCACCTCCACCGTCGACGTCGAATCACGAAGAGAGAGCTCGGCGGTTGAGGAGCGTCCCTCTCCGCCAGACGCGCGCAGTTGTTTCGCATACTCGGGTGACATGGTGCAACGTTCTTCAGCTTGTCGCTAGGTGTGCCATAGATGTGATGGCCTATCCTAGTAGCATTAGGAGTGACGGATGAATCGCAGTGAATACACACGCAGCTGCTGACAATGCCGCTGGGGTCCGTCTCTTTCTTGACGTGCGCCCAGAGCCCAGACGTCGGTCTAGGCATGACCAACCACGGATTGCTGAACACGAGAATACAATTTGCGTGCACGAACTAGCGGGTCTAGAGAGATGAGGAGGTTGAGTAGTAATGTTCACTGCTGTGCACCTGCACGATGTTTGTACCTGAGCTTTGAGAGGGATCACATCTCATTTCGTTGAGAGGGATTGGTGATGATGTGATTGGTTGCGCGACATTGCAAATCCCGAATCGGGTGTTCTGAATGTTCGCCCGACCGCGCGATGCTCGGATCAGAGGGGCGGAATGGCCCGAAAAAGTACTGACGAAATTTTCCAAAAAATTTGGATGCTTGCGCTTCGAGAATTTGTCAGGTCGCGGCTCGGCTAAAAGTTAAACGACTGCGCGACTGACGAATGTTGAACATTGATATGCGTTATTAGCTCAGTCAGAAACGATGAAGACCGTATTATACAGTGGTACAAAAAAACGATCGTATAAAACGGCCGTTTTTTTGCACCAAACGCAAAATTCACATTTCAACCGTTTTAATCGTATTAAACGACCGTTTTATACGATCCCGTTTTAAACGGCCAAAAAAAGTATAAAACGCCGTTCTTTTGCACCCTGGTGGGGAGTAGTATAGTGTTAGGAATGAGCTGGATGCAGGGTAAAAATGGGAGGTAGCTTAAGTAGGATCTGGAAAATGGCCCATCTGGTCGAAAATTCGACCAAACCGTCAGACTTTCCAGATCTGCGCAACTCAGGTCGCGCAGATTGCGTCGGGTCGAGACGCGGCCCGACTTCGGGTCGGGTCAACCCGACGATGTATACCCGAAGTCGGGTCGGGTCAACCAGACATGTCGGGTTCACCCGAACCCATCCATGTCGGGTTCAGGATGACCCGACCCGACGGGTAAAATCAAACCCGACGGGTCGGGTTCTTCCGACGGGAAACCTGATCCGACCCGTCAAAAAGTCGGGTTCGGGTCGGGTTACCCGACCCGACCCGACCGGTTGCTCAAGCCTATTCTGCCATGAGCTATGTTGTATTTTCATGCTTGTTACTTGAGCAATCAAGATGGACGTGGAAGGGAAAACGTAGGTCACGAACGAATTGTCTGTGCGTATTCTCAAGCTGTCTATGCTTGAGCGTTCTCAAAGTTGTGTAGTTGGAACTAGACATGGTGACGAGCCGAACCAGGCTCGGCCCGTGACGACCTGGCTGCTGGCAGCTAGCTGGGGCACTGACAAGCCTAGCTAGGTCGAGCCAGAGCGAGCTCAGCTCGCCTGAAAATGGACGAGTAGCTTCTGGATCAACTTCGACCGGTTCGCCAGGTTCTAAGCCCTAACAAAAAAAAAAAGAGCATACAACACATGTAAGGAGTGTTTGCCTAGCAAACTCGGGAACCACTTTCCGATTTCCGATTTGACCCAAAATCACCCGAGCCGCAGAGGGCTCGTATGCTTGACATTTGAGCCGGCCCGGCTCAGCTTGGCAGGGTAGAGGGTAGGCATGAGCAAAATGCCCGGCGGCCCGGCCCGGCCCAGGTCTGGTCTCGGGCCGCCCATTCGTGGAAACTCGGTTCTACCTTAGTTGGCCCGGCCCGGCCCGGCCCGCCCTGGCCCGTCCCCGGCCCGGTTTTTGCCCCAGGCCCGACCCGGCCCGCCCCTGGGCCAAGGCCGGCCCGACCCCTAACCCCGGGCACAGGCCGGGAATTCCCCAAGGTCGGCCCAACCTCGGCCCGGCCCAGCCCGGCCCGGCAGGCCGACTTGAAACGGGCCGGGCCGGGCTGAGCCGGGCCAATGCTCATGCCTGGTAGAGGGCTACCATAGGTAGAGATGGTTACATCGCATCGCATCGTGCGATATAATATCGCATATATCGCAACAATGCGATAGCGATATTATATTTTCCAGAAAAAATATCGCGCGATGCGATGTGATGTAAATCGCGTGATATTCTTGTATGGCGTTTATATCGCGGTCTTTCCCCTGCGAGATATTGCGATATGCGATATCTTTATATCGCATGCAATATTTAGTATTGCGTGCCATATCTGTTTGATACTTATGCGATATCCGTGCGATACTTTTAATATCGCATGCTCTTTTTAGGTGGCAATCCGGGTTTTGGAGCCCTGGATGAAACGCTATGCGATATTATATTACATCGCGCAATATATCGCATTTTCAAATGCGACATAGTCATCATAGCACCCGAAATGCGATATGCGATATCGGGTTTCCAAAAGTTGTATCACAGTGACACGATATAATATCGCGCAATATTAATCGCTGTCGCAGCCAGTGCGATGCGATTTTATATCGCATCGCACTTTAACCAAGTCTAACCAAAGGAAAGAACAGAACTGGCAAATCGCCTGATCCCCCCCCCTTTTTTTTAAAGACATTGACCGTTTTGGTGCTGGGGAATGCCATTGCAAATTTCGTAACTTACCCCTCTGCAGGGTGTTACAAACGTCGTAATTGACCCCTCTGGACAACGAAGCCCAAAAAGGGCTGCGACAAATTGTCTTTGAGAGAACCCCAACCCCAACACATTCCCACTTTATTTCCCACCACCTCACTCCCATTCCCAAGCTAGCATGCAACCACAAAAGGCAAACCCTTGGAACTCCCATAGCCACCTAGCCACACCTCCACTCCCCCATTCCTAAGCAAGCATAGAAGCACCAATTTCAAACCCTAGCATAGGTACCTCCCAGTTAGCTACCTATCCAAATTGCTGCTGTAGTTTACTTTGCCTGAAATTTAGCCCTGGCGATGCGATATCTTATCGCATCGCGCGATATATTGCACTCTACAGCGCGATATTTGAAAATATTGCACCCAAAACGCGATATGCGATTTTGGGTTTTATTTTCAATATATCGCGGCGATGCGATATCGCATCGCCGCGATATAATGCGCGATAAGTCAAAATGCGATGCGATATCGCATCGCATCGCATTTTGACCATGTCTACCCGTTGCTCAAGCCTAGTGAAAAGAGTTTGCGAAATTCACGAGGCACTTCTGGGTTGCAAGCTTTTGGTACTGACTCCTTTCAAGGGGCTGCGAAATTTGTAATTGACCCCTCGGCGGGGGATTCAAATTTTGTAGTTGTGGGAAAACAGATCTGGAAATTGCCGGATCTGTTTCCCCGATGTCTGTTTTGACCCCCCTCCATGCAGATCCATGACGGGTCAGCCTTGGCTCAGAATTGAGCCGGAATCGAGCCGGCTTTGTGATGACTTATCGAGTCGGTCCGAGCCGCTGGCTTGACAGGCTCGACCCGGCTCGGCTCGGGTCGAGCCAGCCAGAAAAAATCCTGGCTCGGCTCGCTAAAAAGCCGAGCCCAGGGTCGAGCCGAGCCTGGCTCGGCCCTATGCCCATGTCTAGTCTAGGAGTAGAGAGACATGGAGGGATGGTGTCTGGTGAGAGGTGTGTGATTAAAAAGGGGGGGTAAGAGAATGGAATGCAACGCTCTACGCTGCCCAAAACCTACAATTAGGGCCCTTACATAGGAGTGGGTCGGCCCCTACCCTTGGTCGGGTCAGGTCGATCGAACCCGCCCGCGCGACCTGTTTTGGTTAGGTCGGGTCAGAAAAGTCCTACAGTTGACCCAACCCTGACTTCACCTGACCCTATCGGACCCGACCTCGGGTCAGGTAAATTCGGATCGGGTCGGGTCGGGCCGGGCCGGTTTAATATCACTGTATGTGATAACGCGTGCATAGTAGGCTTGAGCAAACTACCCGCCCGGGTCGGGTACCCAGTACCCGGATCCGCTTTTAGGGCGGGTCGGGTATCGGAAATCCTGAAAATTACCCGGCGGGTCGGGTCCGGGTTACCCGGGCAGGTATTCAATACCCGCTACCCGAAATGCTACCCGACGTGTCGGGTAACGGGTACCCGACCCAGTCGGGCAAAATATACCCGAGGTCGGGTATTCCACCTAGACATGGGCGCGTAAGTCGCGCTGTGTTTTAGGTTTTGCGGCAAAACGGTTTTGGAGGTGAGAGGGGACGAGTGGAGCATTTGTGAGGTGAAGTCAGAGTTTGTAGATGGGGAGGAGGTAAGTGCGGTGAAAAGGAGGGAGTTAGAAGGGAGTTGGGGAAGAAGTTGGAGTTTGTAGATGGGTAGGAGTTCAGTGCGGTGAAAGGGAGGGAGTTTTGTTGGAAATGTTGGAGTTTGTAGACAGGGAGGAGTTCAGTGCGGTGAAAGGGAGGGAGTTTGGTTGGAAATTGGAGTTTGTAGACGGGGAGGAGTTCAGTGCGGTGAAAAGGAGGGAGTTGGGTGGTCAAAATTCGACCCCCAGGAAACGCGACTCTCATTTGAGAGTCGCGTTTTCAGAAACCCTACCTAGCCTAGCCCAACTTTAGGATGTCCACTAGTTAGTGGCGGGTAGTATTACCCGCTTTTCAGGGTAACCGGGTTGGGTATACCCGGACCCGCCAGGCGGGTATTGTATTACCCGTCCCCTAAGGCTGGGTCCGGGTAAGGGTCCTGGGCATATTACCCGACCCGGACCCGACCCGAAATTACCCGACCCGAGGTCGGGTATTGCAAAACCGGGTCGGGTCGGGTAATTACCCGGTTTTGCTGAAGCCTAGTGCGTAGCATCTTGCGGGGGGTGTAACGCGTGATTACAAAGTAGTATCTTGCGGGGGTGTAACGCGTGGAACACCTTGCCCACAACTTTGCGTGTATGTGTCGTTTTTTGCTGCTCTTCTTGTGTTGCATTTCTGTAACGCAGAAACGTATGAACTAATTGAGTAACAGATGTCAATGCGTGTTAGGGCCATTATTAAACACAATGTGCTTGGTCAGGTGGATTGTTCCCACGTGAAATGTTTTACCAACGAAATTCATCGAGTTCTTCTAAAATTAACAGCTAGAAGCACTAGCAATCGCATCCAATATCCTCACCGTATGCATGCCCTCCATCGTTGTGCATCAGATACCTTGCCAACAACAGCTTGAGCGGCACGATTCCAGACTCCATTGGCAACCTCACAACCCTTAGTTCCATGTGAGTTTTTTTTTTTTTTTGCTTCGGAAGACTCTATCTCTATTTAGGACTATGCGCGCTTAACAATGTACGCCTTTCCAAGAGCCGTGTGCACATTGAACGTACATTTCGAGTTCTAGATATGCTGCAGGACAGTGGTACGCGTATTTGCTTGAGTGCTCCTATGTAATCGTGTGTACTTGGCACCTCGCCTTGTGCATCTGCATTCTCACCTCTCCTATGTTTCAGTTTGCTGCTAACCATCCCATGGTTGGGCCATACTCCACTTTCCACTCTGTTTTTTTGGGAAATGTAGATATCTCAACAAAAACAATTTGACTGGTTCGATATCAGCAACCATCGGCAACCTTCAACAGCTGATCGACTTGTAAGCCTCTTGTGTAGACTGTCTTGGTTGGATTCACCTCGTCTATTAGACTTAGACATGGTAAAAATGCGATGTGATGCGATATCGCATCGCATTTTGTCATATCGCGCGTGGTATCGCAGCGATGCGATATCGCATCGCTGCGATATTCTATTTCAAAAACTGAAATCGCATATCGCGATTTCAGGTGCGATGTTTAAAAATATCGCACCCATCAGTGCGATATATCGCGCGATGCGATTTAACATCGCATCGCATTTAAGGGTCGGAGGAGAAAAGCAAAACGACAAGGCCGGCTTTCCTACGTGCGCGAGGAATTAGGTGAGTGAAGTTTGACGGGAGAATGAGATATCGTGGCCCCTCTCTGATGTAGAGCGTGTTAGAGGGGCAGGGGTTGGATTCTGTAGATGCGGAGGGATTTAGTGCGGTTGAAGTGGTGGAAATTGGTTGGAGTTCCAACCAATTGACTTAGTGGGGGTCGAGATTTCAATCAACCCCCTAAATCCCTTTAACCGCACACCACCACATTCCATCCACCACCGCCCATGTCAAAAGCTGAACCTCTAACCAACTCCCCTCCCTCAACCGCACTGCACTCCTTTTCAACTAGAAATTCCAACCTTTCCTCTCCAAGCTCCTCACAAACACCTCCCCGTCAATTACGCCAACCCCAAACAGCCTCGCGCAATGTCAGCACGCCCTTACAATCAGAGAACCCTAAGTTTTGCAAAGTTCAGGGTAGGGTTGAGCAAACTACCCGCCCGGGTCGGGTACCCGGTACCCGGACCCGCTTTTAGGGCGGGTCGGGTATCGGAAATCCTGAAAATTACCCGCCGGGTCGGGTCCGGGTTACCCGGGCCGGGTATCAATACCCGCTACCCGAAATGCTACCCGACGTGTCGGGTAACGGGTACCCGACCCGGTCGGGTAAAAAATTACCCGAGGTCGGGTATTCCACCTAGACATGGGCGTAAGTCGCGCTGTGTTTTAGGTTTTGCGGCAAAACAGTTTTGGAGGTGAGGGGGGACGAGTGGAGCCCTACCTAGGCTAGCCCTACCTAGCCTAGCCCAACTTTAGGATGTCCACTAGTAGGTGGCGGGTAAAATTACCCGCTTTTCAGGGGGTCCGGGTCGGGTATACCCGGACCCGCCAGGCGGGTATTATAATACCCACCTAAAAAAACCGGGTCCGGGTAAGGGTCCTGGGCATATTACCCGACCCGGACCCGACCCGAAATTACCCGACCCGAGGTCGGGTATGGCAAAACCGGGTCGGGTCGGGTAATTACCCGGTTTTGCTCATGCCTAGTTCAGGGCCCCCGCCCATGTTCCCCCCCCTTTCTGGCATAATTCCGCGACTCGATATGAGGATGTATGGCGCGCGATATTTTAATATCGCATATCGTGTTTTATCGCGCTGAAAAAACCGCGATAAATGCGTGATATCGCAAAAAACGCGCGATATTATCGCATCGCATCGCTGCGTTTTTTTGTTTTTTGTTTTTTTTTTTTATCGCAATCGCAAAATGCGATAAAACGCGATGCGATGCGATATACCCATGTCTAGTTAGACTTCTTTGGTTCGATCATTGCATTTGCTCTCACCCACCGTACACATCAATCAAATTAGTGTAACTGTGTTTCCTCACCTAAGGGTCTAAAAGCACCGAACAAAGCACAATAAAAAGAAATTCCCCTCCTGTCTCACTTTCCCATGGCATACTCCTTAAAATCCATTAGGGATCTGTCTGCAAACAGCTTGATTGGCTCCATTCCATCCACTATTGGGCGCATCAGCAGCCTGGCATACTTGTGAGATCATGACATTGCACTCGCATGCTAAATCTCATTTCATACGTGACCAATGAGCATTCATTCATCTTGGTTCACATGTGACGCACATTCACACCTGACAAAGGGGCTTTGCTCGTTAATGGAGCAAATGCCATTTGCATTAATTGTCATTGATTTATTGCACCTATTCCTTTCCTCGTGGTTGTTTACATCTCATGTTGAATGCAGGAACCTCGAATCAAACTCACTGTCTGGTTCCATGCCACAATCGTTCACGCAGCTCACCAATTTGACAGAATTGTACGACATTATTCCTTTGTTATTCAACAATCTTTGGACAAATTTGATTTTCCCTGCATCGGCTTCTTCAATAAATGGGGCATCCTCCAACTGTTCCTCCCTTGTAAAATATGCATCTGCTCCTAAAATATCCAATCCCCACTCCACACACATCCTTTTCTCTGTCCTCTCATCGCATCCCTTTCGCTGGCCTCTCATCACATCCCATTCGCTGTCCTCACATCGCATCCCTTTCCCTGTCCTCTCATCGCATCCCTTTCGCTGTCCTCTCATCGCATCCCTTTCGCTATCCTCTCATCGCATCCCTTTCGATATCCTCTCATCGCATCCCTTTCGCTATCCTCTCATCGCATCCCTTTCGCTATCCTCTCATTGCATCCCTTTCGCTGTCCTCTCATCGCATCAGGCGTCTTGCTAACAACAGCCTGACTGGCAGCATCCCTGAATCCATTGGCAGCCTTGTGCAACTTTCAACCTTGTGAGGGCTACTCCCCTATAAGTGATATTGGAACCACTGACAGACCAGCATAACAGAAGTGCCTGCCAGCCATGGTGCGTGTGTGCTCTTGAAGAGTGTGCTTTTGGCCCTGTGAGAGGCGGAGAAGGGAGAATTGAAACCAATTATTTGCATTGAGACACGACAGAGCAAGAACACCAAGACCACCAGTCGGCCTCAAACAGCTGCTTCTAGGAATTGAAATTGGTATTTCCGCTGCTATTTGTTTGAAGGACAGCAGTTTACAGAATATGTCACTTTGATATTCTTCTTCCTCCCGCTCCACACATGCAGGAATCTAATTGGGAGCGGGGTTTCATGCCCTCCTGACAACACCCAGTGCGTGGTCGAACAAAATCTGACAAGCGCCTTCTGCCGGGACTGCCTCTCCTTCTGCACCACTTGTGTCAAGCCAGCAGCACGTGAGATGAAAAGAACGTTCCTCCTCTCTATGCTTTGTATCCTAAATGAGCTCCTATGCATGTCCAAAGCCCCGCACCCCTCCCTGTGTCCCTCCCATGCCCTTATTTTCAATCGGAAGCATTGGCAAAACGGCCGTTCTACACTGCGACAGTCAGAGTTGAGTCGAGTTGAATGGACACACGCACCATCCGCTAGCCCAGTATCAATCTGCTCCCCTCAAGGCAACACATTACGTGCTATCCCTTCCCTTCTCATGTCCATCCCGCCCCTTGCCTCCTCCAGCGCCCCCTGCCCCATCGTCGGTGCCCTCCACAACACCTCCACCTACACCCACTGAGTCTCCATCGCCTTCCTCCTCCTCTCCAGCATCCCCCTCCTCACCTGAAACACCCACCTCCCAGTCTGGAGGCGGTCTGTCAGCAGCAGCCATTGCTGGCATTGCTGTGGCTGCTGTGGCTGCCCTGGTGGTGCTGCTGCTGATTGGCATGCTGGTGTGGCGGAGAGGAAACAAGAAAGAAGCAGCCACATCAGTCAAGGAGGGAGAGGATGAGGTGCTGCAGCGGGATCTCGAAGGTAAGGATAATTTTTCTTTCCCTCTCTCAAGCGGTCATGATCACCGATGAAACCTGAGTACAAGCCCATGGCAAGGAATGCTCACCGAGGGGAGTAGCCAGGAATGCACCCAGGAATGCTCTCTCTCTCTCTCTCTCTCTCTCTCTCTCTCTCTCTCTCTCTCTCTCTCTCTCTCTCTCTCTCTCTCTCTCTCTCTCTCTCTCTCTCTCTCTTCTCTCTCTCTCTCTCTCTCTCTCTCTCTCTCTCTCTCTCTCTCTCTCTCTCTCTCTCTCTCTCTCTCTCTCTCTCTCTCTCTCTCTCTCTCTCTCTCTCTTCTCTCTCTCTCTCTCTCTCTCTCTCTCTCTCTCTCTCTCTCTCTCTCTCTCTCTCTCTCTCTCTCTCTCTCTCTTCTCTCTCTCTCTCTCTCTCTCTCTCTCTCTCTCTCTCTCTCTCTCTCTCCTCTCTCTCTCTCTCTCTCTCTCTCTCTCTCTCTCTCTCTCTCTCTCTCTCTCTCTCTCTCTCTCTCTCTCTCTCTCTCTCTCTCTCTCTCTCTCTCTCTCTCTCTCTCTCTCTCTCTCTCTCTCTCTCTCTCTCCTCTCTCTCCTCTCTCTCTCTCTCTCTCTCTCCTCTCTCTCTCTCTCTCGAACGGTCCTTCATTGCTGGGAGATCCTGGGTACAGGCGAAGCATATAAGGTAGGTACAAATATACATGGTATTCCTGGTCTTGCTCCTAGTCCCCAGCAATTCCCTGGGGTGCTCAATGACCGCGAAGCAGTCCCCAAGGGACATGCCCGCCTCAGGGGCACCTAGGGGCGGCCACTCGAGTGGCGAAGCCTCATTCACCTTCCCGAGGTAGGTGAGGGCTTGCCCCCGCTGGAGGGTGACGGACCACCGCTGGCGAAACTGACTTAGCAGTTTTGCCGCTTGGTAGGAGCTGGGGTCGGCGTTGAAGAGGCGGCGGGCGACCGTGTGCGCCAGGAGTTTGAGGAAGGTTGGAACCTCGGCGCAAGGGCAGCCGTAGGTCTCGACCGCCAGCGGGAAGGAGCCGACATACGCCGCCCTGTGGCGGTAGTCGTGGATCTTTTTGTCAGCCTGTTCTCGGGCCATGTAACCTCGGCCCTTGCGGGCCGTATATTACTGGAACCTGGGTACACGCGAGGCAGTCAAGGTGAGGATCAACAAGCAAGCACAAACCTAGGCACACTCTAGGCTACTGCCGCCTAGGACTCTGAAGTATATGCGAGTGTGCTGCACGTTTACCCCTCATCTCATCCCATGGGCAGGCCTGGCTGGCAGCGTAGCAGCCTCTCACTGCACCGAGTACTCCCTTGAGGAAGTCATGGCAGCCACGAGCAACTGGTCTGATGGCAACCTGCTGAAATCTGGCACCTTTGGTGATGTGTACAAGGGCGTGTCTCCAAGGGATGGCACCACCCTGTGGGCCGTCAAGCGAGCCAAATTGCTTGTTGCTGACTTCCAGAGAGAGGTGAGAGAACTCTGACAGTATCAGGAACATGCAAGGAACATGACGCACCTGTGGCTTGCTTTGACCGTGCTATCCATCTCGGCTTCTGCATAATCCAATGCAGTCGAGCGACTTAAGAAAACATTCCCGTTGTATATTGTAGCTCGGTCTCTCAATCCATTCGTATGAAATGTCTCAACCCATCTATATGGCATGCCTTTCAATCCAAACTATTATTGCAGGTAGTTCAATGCATCCCACTATGACATGTTGCTCTCCCAGGTCCGACAGATGGCAGGCAAGAACCATCCCAACATTGTTCGGCTACTCGGGTTTGCTCTTGGAGGGGACATGAGGACACGGCCAGAGCAAGTCTTGATTTACGAGATTGTTCCAAACGGTGACCTTGAGAAGTGGATCAGTACACGTATGTATCCGTCCAAAGGCCGTGTTGTCCTTTGCTCCCTTAGATGACAAATGGAAACTGACGTTGTGGCAATCATGTTGTCTCTCTTTGCAGAAGCACCCTTCCATCTCAGCCTGAAGCAGCAGCTGGACATCCTAATTGGTGTTGCACGTGGCTTTGATTACCTCCACAGCTTTAACCTTGTGCATCGCGACATGAAACCCGCCAACATCCTCCTTGGGGCAGACATGCAGGCAAGCTCTTTACGTTCGTAACTTTTTCCCCAACGTTTCTCCAAGTCTTAAGGCCATCACCAAACAAAATTAAGTGGAGAGTGGCTTCTGGCCCTAGCCCTTGGTGTGACTTTGGATGTCACGTATGACACCTACTTTGCATTGTTCAACCTTGTGTAAGTCAGTGCAACAGAGAGTCGAATATTGCTAGTGCACTTAATACAAACAAGGTCCTCTATTTTCTCTTCATTCATGCTTCCCCTTCTTATTTCAGGCGAAAATTGCAGACTTTGGGCTTGTGAGGGTGGAAGAGGGCACGGAAGTGGGCACGACTCGAGTCATGGGAACACCGGGCTATGTGGATCCCATCTACTCCCGGACGTCTAAGGCAACCAGGGCCACCGATGTCTACAGGTGAGCTCGGATTCAAAGCAGCAGCATCTGCTGACTTGTGAGATGTCCTCGGAGATGAACACTCCAACGCAGCTCATGTTCATCTGCACTTGCTTTGGACTGAATCTGGGTGTTGTCCATCTCAAAGCTCATGTTTATCATAGATCTGAATGTTTATACAGCATGCACTTTCACACATGGATCATACGGTCACCCTATCAAGTATGTGTCACGCAACCTCTCAACATCAGCATCTCTCCCTCACTCCAGCTTCGGTGTGCTGATGCTTGTGGTCCTCACTGGACGAAGCCCAACCTCTACAGCTGATGGGGAGAACAGCCACATTCTGGCATGGGTAAGTCTGGTCGTTGAGAAGCATGCACATGGCACACCTGTTGTCCAAACGGTCAGCATCAGAGTGGCTCTTATTCACCATGTGGACCTTGCTTGACCCCTTCAGCCTGTTCCCATCCCCACCCTTCGTCATTCGTCAGGTGGAGACCTGCCTGGGCGCCCCTTGTCAATAACCCCCATTGTACCCACCGTGTACCATCCTTCAGGTGGAGGCCTGCCTGGCGTCCGACAGCCCGACCCGCCTCAAGGACCTCGGCATGGAAGCCCCTGATGATGCTGTGCTGCGCTTGGCCCAGCTGGCTCTCAGCTGCACTGTGGAGCGCACTGCTAGTCGCCCAAGCATGGCGGGCATTGCCAATGAGCTGCAGGACATCAGGAATGAGGTGGTGGGGAAAGAGGAGCTGAGTGCAGCGGTTAAGGTGGATGATCAAGCCCAAAAGATGAATGGCTCATCTGCCATAGATGTTCATCTGCAATGCATTGACAACCTCCTGGAAGGCAATTCTTTCGATGATCGACCACCGACTTGACGCTCCAGTCGGCGGAAACCTTCAGTTCGATGGAATTGGTGGATTTCGGCACCGGGCAACATGTTCTACTTTCACACTGGTGATGCATTTGTAAACGAACAAGCAAAACGCACAAGCACTTGTTTTTTATTCAAAACCCAGGTAATTACTCGTCAAACATAGGCCCTCTTCCTGTGTCTCGTATTTCTGAAGCGTTGTATTGCGGTTGGTTTGGCCCAAAACGGTGAGGGCGTGGACGTTGGGGTTGGCTGTCTCAAACGTTTGTAGTCTGCTGCAGTTTTGGATCAGTTTTTGTGTAGATTTGGTTCTCAAAGTAACGAATTGAACTAGACTGAGAGATACAGGGTGGTTTTGTGCTGAGGGGTTGTACTCTCTAAGAGCATGCACCTATCTAGCCTAAAATAACATATACATATATTTTTTACACACCCCCTAGGCTAGATGAGGGGTAGTGCTTGGCAAGAGACACGCAGCTCAGGGTGGGAGTACTAGTCCCAACCTCTGAGGCAAGGGTCCGAAGACTGGTCAGCAAGAGTACAAACTAGACAAGAGTAACCCAGGGCAGCACTACTAGTCCAGCCTTTCAAATATATATTTGATATGTATATTTATTTAGGCTTGGTAGTTGTGCTACGCTACTGGATGTTACTGTAGAGGGGACAACCCCCCTTCTTGTATCTCCTCATTCTTAGTCCCTCTCTTTCCTCTCGACATTTCTTCCCCCTAGCTTAAACCTCTCGCTACCTTCTATGGCTCACTAGCTAACCTCCTAAGCTCCTACCTATCTAGCTTATCTCAACACAGCCACTGGAACAAGAGCCACAAGGTCAGTCAAGATAATATAAGAAGTGCACAATCAGGGTCCTAGCAAGTGAGAACCTACAAGAACTAGACCAAGCTGTACACAGTGCCGCTGATGATCTTTAGGCGCAAGTGCCTTAGTAAAGATATCAGCTATGTTGGCACCGGAGGCCAAGTGTACTATGCGGACCTGGCGACGCTGCTGTAGCTCGCGCAGGAGGAAGTACCGCAACTAGATGTGCTTCGCTCTGCTCTCTAGTCGAGGCTTCTGACACAGGAGGATCATGGCCATGTTGTCAGCGTATAGGACCTGGGCAGAGCTAGGCCGTTCACCGGGCTAAGTCTGTGAGCAAGAACGTCAGCCAGCGGAGCTCCTGTGCCGCCATGGCACCGGCATAGATCTCAGCCTCATAGCTAGACTGCCCAACAGACGACGAGCATGTGAACCTCCACGAGATGGCACGTGCACCAAGGCTAAAGCAGTAGCCCTCGAAGGACCTGAGAGTTTCAGCGTTGTCCGCCCACAAAGCGTCTGTGTGCCCTGTGAGGACCACTGGCCCGAGTCCTCCCAGCACTAGCTTTAAAAATATAATTAAATATGTTACAGGCTAGCTACGTGCATGCTAGGCCGTTCACCTGGGCTAAGTCTGTGAGCAAGAACGTCAGCCAGCGGAGCTCCTGTGCCGCCATGGCACCGGCGTAGATCTCAGCCTCACAGCTAGACTGCCCAACAGACGATGAGCAGGTGGACCTCCACGAGATGGCACGTGCACCAAGGCTAAAGCAGTAGCCCTCGAAGGACCTGAGAGTTTCAGCGTTGTCCGCCCACGAAGCGTCGGTGTGCCCTGTGAGGACCACTGGCCTGAGTCCTCCTAGCACTAGCTTTTAACATATAATTAAATATGTTATAGGCTAGCTACGTGCATGCTTATATAGAGTACAACCCATTAGGTTATATCCCCATGTACAACCTCATTCTAGTTAACTTTTCTACACTAAGATGGTATCACGCAAGGATAGGTCCTCCCACCCGCTTCCGCCCTAGCCCCTAGCGCCCCGTTCCCTTAGGGCCTCGCTGGCCCCTTAGCGCCCCGCTGGCCTTATACGCCCAGCTGGCCCCGTCGCGCCTCGCTGGCCCCTTCATACCCCGCTGGCCCCTTCATACCCCGCTGGCCCCTTCATACCCCGCTGGCCCCTTAGCGCCCCGCTGGCCCCTTCGCGCCCTGCTGGCCCCGTTCGCCCAGCTCGCCCCTTAGTGCCTCGCTGGCCCCTTAGCGCCCCGCTGGCCCCTTAGCACAACGCTGGCCCCTACGTACCCCGCTGGCCCCTTAGCGCCTCGCTGGCCCCTTAGCGCCCCGCTGGCCACTTCGTGCCCCGCTGGCCCCGTACGCCCAGCTGGCCCATTAGCGCCCCACTGGCCCCTTAGCACCTCGCTGGCCCCTTCGCGCCCCGCTGGCCCCTTCGCGCCCTGCTGGCCGCTTAGTGCCCCGCTGGCCCCGTATGCCCAGCTGCCCCCCCCCTCGCGTCTCGCTGGCCCCTTCGTGTCCAGCTGGTCCTTTCGTGCCCCGTTGGCCCCTTAGCGCCCCGCTGGCCCCTTAGTGCCCCGCTGGCCCCGTATGCCCTGCTGGCCCCTTAGCACCTCGCGGGCCCCCTTCGCATCCCGCTGGCCCCGTTCGCCCAGCTGGCCCCTTCGCACCTCGCTGGCCCCCCTTCGTGCCCCGCTGGCCTCTTAGCGCCACGCTGGCCCCGTAGCGCCCCGCTGGCCTCCGCGCTCGCCACCTCCGCACTAACTAGCCCCGTGCTCGCCATGCCCTAGCTCGCTGCCCCCCCCAGTTCACCGGCCCCTAGCTTGCCGGCTCCCGGCTCCACCGGCACTTGCTCCGCCGGCCCCAGCTTGCATTGGCCCCGACCAATGCACCCGCCGCGCTGCAGTGCCGTCGTGCCGCTTTGTCACCCCCGACCTACCGACCTTGGCTCCTCTCTGTGCTGGCACTCCTGCCGGCTGTCACCACTGCTCTTCACTGCACTCCACCTCCCTCCACCGCACTCCACCTCCCTCCACCATACTCCACTGCTCTTCACCGCTCTTCACCGCACTCCACCTCACTCCACCGCTCTCTACAGCACTCCACTGCACTCCACCGCTCTCCACCGCTCTCTGCCGCACTCCACCTCACTCCATCTGTCCTCTGCCTTTCCTCCTCTCCCTGTCAGCAACAGTCAGCTGCTGCAGCTGTGGCGATGGTGGACTCGCTGCTCTGCCTGGACGCGGATGGTCAGGCGCTCAACTTCGAGGCGTGGCTCGTCGACCTCTGCTGTCACCTTATAGGTCAGCGCCAGGACGCTCACTCCTTGCCTGTCCATGTTGTTGGCCTGCTTCCCCGCCCTGCTGCACCTGGTGCCCTCCTTGCTGCTCCCACCACTGCTGAGCGTGAGGCCTTTCCTACTGCTGTGCTTGCTCGTGCTGTCTGGGACTCGCACGACGTCGTTGCACAGCTTGCTATCAGCCATGCGCTTCCCCTGTCTGAGCGTCCCCGCTTTACCACTGTAGCGAACGCCAAGGAATTCCTAGATGCAGTCATCGCTCACTATTCCACTCCTGCCTCAACCTCTTCTAGCCACCTGATCCTCCCCATGCTGTTCCTTGATCTTGCGTCCTTCCCCACTGTCGCTGATCTTACCACTCACCTCCGTGCACTTGAGACTAGCTACCGGGCCGCTAACACTGAGGCTCAGCTCACTGCCTTTCCACCACTGCTTTGCGCTACCCCCTACCTCATTGCCACAGGCCTTCCAGACTGCCTAGCCACTGCTCGCGACCACTTCCTTAGTCAGCACCCAGGTGACCTCACCCTTACTGCCTTTGTCACCGCCCTGTCCGAGATAGAGACTCGCCAGCGCACCATCGCTCAGTCTAGCGGTACTATGACGGTCCCTATCTTTCAGGGCTGTGCTCCCTTCCAGTGCACTTACTCTAACGTTTCTGTTGTTGTCGCTGAGACAGCCCCTGCTGCTGAGACTGCTGCTACGGCCTCAGCGCAACTGCGTCAGGGTAGGGGCCGCCGCCCCAAGGGGGGGAGTGGTGGAGGGAAGGGTGGTGGGGGTGGTGGGGGTGGGGGGGGTGACGGTGGTTCCGACGACGGGACTGGGCCTGGTGCACTAGAGCAGCAGCAGCAGCAGCAGCAGTCGCAGCAGCAGCAGCAGCAGCAGTGGAGCCACTTCCCTCCAGGATGGGCCGGTGCCTCTGGCGGTGGTGGCCGCAGTGGCGGTCCTAGCAGCTCGGCATCGGGCTTTGGCGCTGTCGGTTGCCAGTACCAGCTCCGGACTGGCCCCTTCCACGGCGCTGTGAGTGGTCGTACCAGTCACTCTGCCGCCCACTGCTTCCGCCGCCTCGACGACCTCTTCCGTCTCCACTTCGGCCCTATGCCGGACCATTCCGACCAGACCAGTCTGGTGCGTCGCCGTGTGTCTGTCTTTGCGATGGATATGGATCAGCTTTGCTCTGCCTTGCATGCCATGTATGCTCACAACTCTAGTGTGACCGGACCTTATTACCCTGTGTTGCCTAGTGTAGGTGTGCCTCTTGTGTGTAGTCTAGGCTCCCATGCTGCGTCAGGCATAGGATCTTCTGCCTTGTTTAGCCTAGGCTCTATGCTATCCCCTCCTTCAGCTGCCGCTACCGCTTCGCTCTCATTCACGCTTGACTCTCGTGCATCTGCCTGCTTCTTCCGCGACCACACTGCACTCATGCCGCTTGCCGTGCCTACCGCTCTTCCGCTTGCTGACCCCTCCTCAGGTCCGGTAGTTGCCAGTAGCTCCACTACCCTTCCCTGCCTGGCGGTTCCCTCAGGCTCTCTTACAGGCCTGCACATCCCCTCGTTCTCCAAGAACCTAGTTGGTGTTGGCTGCCTTCAGGACCTCGGCGTCACCACTACGTTCCCTAGCCACGAGCGCTACGCGGTCTGTACCGAGGCCGCCACAGGTGCCCCGCTCACCACGTTCCCCCAGGACCCGGTGTTTGGCTTGTTTATGCTCGACATTGAGTCCTCCCCGGTGAGGGCGTCCCCCCAGGTGCCTGCATCTCCCCAGGTCGCTACGGCTTGCTCGTGTCAGTCGCTCACTCACCTGTCGCTTCTGTGGTACCACCACCTAGGTCACCCCGCACTCCCGCGTCTGTGTCACATGTCCCATCACAGTCATGTCGTAGGTCTCCCTGCGTCGCTCCCTGCCCTCCCTCCCTCGCCCGCGCCGTTGTGCACGCCCTACATCAAGGGCCGACAATGCCATGCTTGTCACTCCTCCTGGCTTTGCCCTGCCGCCGCGCCACTCCAGACCCTGCACCTAGACGTCTGGGTCTCAGCCCTCATCTGTGGGCCACGTCGAGAGTTCTACTTTCTAGTGCTTGTCGACGACCACGCGCTACACCACAGTGTTTCCCTTGGAGCGGAAGACCGACGTGCCTGACATTCTTATCCCATGGGTTGTAGCTACGTGACTCCACCGCGGTCTCCCCGTGCTGTGTCTCCACTCCGACTATGGCGGCAAGTTCGCCTCCGGTCGGCTTGGACAGTTTTCTGTCGTGCGGAGGTCATCACCCAGTCGTACACC